ACTTGATAGGAGACAGGATGAGGACAGCAAGGACTTGCAGAGGGTTTCCACTATGGGAGCTGGGGACATCATTTAGGGTTCAGAAAAAAGCTTACTCAGTTTTAACCAATGAAAGGTGCAAAGGACATTCCTAGAAGAAAAGCTTGAGATAGGCAGTGGGAAGGTATAGATAGATAGATAGATAGATAGATAGATAGCAGGTGCCAGGGAATAGAGAAGGGTGAGAGATGAGGAGGAAACTCAAGCAAGGGATGAACTGACTGAACAATAGGCTTTGGGAAGAAGATCATGTGATTATCCTAGAGCTCAGGATAGCCATGGCAGGGCTGTAAACACAGCAACAGGACAGTCTGCATACTGGAAAACATCCTACAACATGGGTTATGCATAGATAAGACTAGAGGTAATTCTACAGTTAAAATTACAAACCTTGGGGATGGCTTTATCCTGAGTAAATATTGAGGACAATCCTAGGGCTAGCTGTTAACAAATTGCTAAGTTAGCTAACAGTTTTCTTGTACACAGTAATCACTTTGACCAAAATGTTATCTGCTTTGGACAGTTTTGTATGTTCTCTTCCTCTCTCTAACCATTCCCCAGGACAGTGTGGGCCACCTTCACCTAAACTCTGAACCCTGCCCTTAATATATTTATTGAGTGAGTGTTGTTTGAGCAGCTACTGGGTTCTAGGCACTGCTTTATGCAAGAGTTATAGCAGTGAACATTGCTAAGTCCCTGCCCTCAAAAGCTCTTACTTCCAAGGTGTTTAGGTTGGGACAGTGGGTGCAGATAGTATCAGATGTAAAACATCCTGTGGAGACCACTAAAGCAGAGTGGAGAGTCTACTATTTTAGCTAGGTGCTCAAAAAACAACGTCTCTGATCAGGATTCATCTGAGCAAAGGCCTACGGTAAGAGCTGCATTCTGTTCCTCACTGTCTACAGTCCAGCCTCTCTCTGGCCCCTGAAAGCTACTTTATAAGTGTCCGGGAAAGCATGGTTGCTTACATGTCTTTTGCTGAAGTTCTTAAAGGCACAACAGATTTTTTTTAGTGATACTTCAAAGTTTTGTAGTACTTTGTATTTTCTTTCTCTTTTTTTGGTCTTTTTTCCTATTTTATCGGTACCAGGGATCGAACTCTGCCTGCTTGCAAGGCAGGCGCTTATGCCGCTGAGCTAAATCCCCAGCCCCTAGTACTTTCTATTTTCAAAAACACTTTTTAAATCTCTATTTCACTTGGCCTTCTTGACAAAAGAATTGAAAAATACAAAGCACTTACTATTATCCCCATTCCACCAAAGTCGAAGAAACCTAAGGTCCAAAGCTCTTTCTAGTACACTGTGTTGTTTGGTAGTTTTGTGTAGTTCAACCTCTCTGTCAATCCACACCAGTCACCACAGAATCCAGTTGTACAGGCCTCTGGATTCTTAAATAAATAAATAAGACTAATTGATCTCTGAAAAGAAGGAACTGAGCCACTGTTGGGGGAGAGTGTAGTGTTCAAGCATTTCTATTTCAACAGTTTCTGCCATGAGAATCTCCAGAAAAGTTTATTGAAGTAAGTCAGATGTGACTTTCTCTTTCTTTCTTCTTCCTTCCTCTTTCTCTTGTTCTCTCTTTCCTTTTTTCTTGTTTGTAGACATTATCACATTATCCTGCCACTTCCAAGAAAACAAAAGCCTCCTTTGAATAAAAAAAAAAAAAAACCTAAAAAGAGAAGAGCAAGTTGTGGAACCATCTGTAGACTGTTCAACAATTTCATGAAGAACATAGAAAACTAATGTTTAAGCTGCAGACTCATTCAGAGTTTCTCACTTGTTGTATTTGCCAGGATATTTATTACAAGTAACAGAAATCTTAAAAAACTTCCTTAAGCAGCAATGTTGGGAATTATAAAGAACAGGGTATCACATGGAACCCAAAATCAGAAAATTAGTCAGTTCTTACAGATGTCCTAAATAATTGAAAATTCAAGCCAGACATGGTGGCTCACGCCTATAATCCCAGCACTCGAGAGGCTGAGGCAGGAAGATCATTTCGAGTTCAAGACCAGCCTGGGCTACAAAGTGAGCTCAAGGCCAGCCTGAACTGCATAGAGAGACCCTGTCTCAAAAAAGACAACAACAACAAAAAAAAAAAAAAAAGAAAGAAAGAAAGAAAAAAGAAGAAAACACTAAGGCAGATTTTCACGTGCCTACTTTCCCTTCATCTTTCCTCCTCAAAATATTTACTATTTTCCAGGCCCTGGTTTCACTTAATTTATAGTTGAATAGACATACTATTTCTTTACAATTCAGTGTATGCTAGCAAATAAAAATTCCAAATTTAATTAAGTGCTCTAAATGAGAGGAGCACAGTTATATGAAAATCTGTATAAAATAACCTATCATTCCTGCCGTGGTCTCCATGGCATCTTTCTCAGTGGTTTTCATCTTTCCTGCCTGCCACATAGAATGTGGAGAATTACTGGAATAAATAATATTTGAGCTGAAACAAGAATGACATTAGTGTGCTGGGAAGGGAAAGAATGTTCCAGAACAAAAACAGCAAGCACATGAAAAGATCATGTGATCAAAGGAACTGTAGAACATTCCAGAATCCTTGTGGAACACAAGAAGAGAAGGGCAATGGTGAGGTGGAAAATCTCAAAAGGTAGATGGGCAATGGCCAACCCATGTGTGGCCTCAAATGCTACTTTACGGATCTTAGTCTTCATTCTAGAAATAAGGGGAAGAAGGCTGAACAGTTTTAAGTAGGAAGGAGATGTTGAGAATGTAACATTGGATTTTTTTTTTTTAAAGATTATTCTGGCTAGTGAGAGGAGATCAGATGAGAACACTGAGAGGTACAGGAAGTCAATTAGAGAGAGAATACTACAGTTGTCTACAACAGAAATGACAAAGACCTGGACTAAACAAATGTCAATAGAGATAGAAATGGAGAGGTTCGAGAGAGGTAAAATTAACAAAATTAGATGATGGACTGGATAATAGGAATGAATATGAAGAACACTTCCTAAATTTTGACTCATGTAAGTAGAGAGATGTACATTTTTGTTGTTTGTTGTCCTAAACTAGAGAAATAAGATAGGTTTGTAGTGAATATCATGAGTTAAGTCTTGGACATCTTGAGTTTGAGGTGCTCCAAGTAGAAATATCCAATGCCAATGAATAGCCAGGTCTGAAGTCAGAGTAAGAGGTCTGGGCTCTTGACACACAAGTGTATAGATGGAAGTTAAAGCCTTGCACATGGGTAAAATTGGCTAGGAGGAGAGGAGACATGAAAAAAGAACACTACACTGAATGAGCCTCAAAGACACTGAATTATAATGCTCAGAGAAGGATGGGCCTGAGAAGCAGCAGGCAGGAAAGAAGAAAACCACTGAGAAAGATGCCATGGAGACCAAGGCAGGGGAACAGCCATTCCCTTGGCTTTTCTCTTCCTGCTTAAATGTACATGGTAACCCTGTAGCTCTAAATTCCAACTTCACACAGAGAGAATCTCATTGATCCATCTTAGATATATCTCTACCACTGATTCAATAAGCTGTAACTTGTAAGCTCACCCCTTTGAGTGTAGATGCAGTTCTCAGAGAAAAGAACTCAGCCTCACCTGAAAATCTCCCCTCCTCCCCTTCCCTTTTTAAAAAATCCCTGCAAGCTGGCCAAACAGTTTTCTGTTGGTCTTTAGATGTGGCAAGCTCTCACCTCCGGGTCTTGACACCTGCTGTTTCCTCTGCCCACCTCAGCCTTCACTATGCTCTTTGTTTTTCCTTTTTCTTCTTCCTTTCTTCCTTCCTTCCTTCTTCTTTTGTGTGTGTGTGTGTGTGTGTGTGTGTGTGTGTGTGTATGCTTTAAATTCATTATGTAGCCCAAGCTGGCCTCAAATTCACGGCTATCCTTATGCCTCAGTCTCCCCAGTGCTGAGACTACAGGCTTATGCCACCACACCCAGGTCTTCACCATACTCTTTTTTTTTTTTTTTTTTGGTCTTTTTCGTTTTTATTGGTACCAGGAATCAAACTCACGACTGCCTGCTTGCAAGGCAGGCGCTGTTGCCGCTGAGCTAAATCCCCAGCCCCCTTCACCATACTCTTAACGTGGCCTCCTTTTCATCCTTTAGAAGATTGAGTTCAGAAGAGACCTTCCCGTTCACTTCACCTGTGCACATAGATCTTTTCCTGATGACTTTCTATGATATCATCCTGTGTGCTGCCTTCAGAGAACCTGTCACTTTGTAATGGATTTAATATCAATCTTCCCCTCTGGAATGTCAACTCTGCAAGGACAAGGACAATGTCTATTTTAATCATATTCAACTGTGGACAGTTTTGCGCACACACACACACACACACACACACACACACACCCCAAGGGACGTTTGGCAATAGCTAGAGAGGCTTGTGGTTGTTACCGTGAAGGGAGGAGAGATGCTGTAGGCATCTAACAGGTACTGAAGGCCAGCGATGCTGCTCACTATCCTAGAATACACAAGACACCCAGCCAACAGAATTACCCAACCCCAAAAGTCCAAATATGCCAAGGTTGAGAATTATCTACCCCAAAAGACCAAATGTGTGAGGTATTTTAATAATGACTACACAAATTAGTCATATCTTCCAAGGTCACAATACCTGTTTCTGGAAAATCATTGGTATGTATGAGCTCCTGAGTTTGGAAATGAAAACAGCAGTAGCTACATTTTGCTCATGAGATTTGAGAGGGAAACACCTGTTTTGAAGTGAGACATAGGAAAGGGTCATTGTCACATCTTCTTTGCCTGAAGGCTTTGATTATCTAACTATAAAAACAGTATTGTGGCTCATGATCCTGGAGTTCACACTCTATCAAGGTCTTGTAGCTCTGTAGGTACCCTCTCGGGTACTGCAAAGAAATAAAAAAGTTCCTTAAATTATTTTAGGACCTAGAGAGAAGAAAGGAGGCACTGGCAGTGCAATATCCAGGGCAGTGGCATTGATCAAATCACTTTATGTTTTGTAGCATGAAGAGAAACACTAACAGACATCAGAAACAATTGAGCCAGAAGGACATGAATGGACTTGACCAAAATCCAGATGATGGATTACCGGTTACACAGCTTAACCAGACACAGGACTTACTGGTAAAACTATAATGCTTTCACTGAGCATTTAGGCATAAAAATCATAGACAGGGAATGCACAATGTATTAAATTCTGGGTATTTCTTTCTTCATATAGAATCCATTAATAAAAAAGGTTAATTAAACATTCATGCCTAATCTTCTGTCTTTAGAAATGAACAATCTTCATGCTATTTATAGAAATTTAATGACCACCTCATTAAATATTTAGGAGAGTGGTAAGATTCTGGTCACATCATTAAAGCCTGAAATCTAAGGCATTTAAATCTAAGTCTAAATTTTCCCTACCTGAGATTTGTTTTTCTTTTATGATTCCCTAAAATCAAACCCTAGAAATCTGTTTCAGGTATTTCTGTTAGAATGAGAGATTTAGGACAGGAGAAACAACCTGCAAAAAAACCAGCCAGTGGTTTTAGGCTGACTCTTGACATGTAAATAAGTTCTCCCCAGAGAACTGAATTCATTCTACCATGAAAACAATCCCCATTACTTGTGAGGGAAAGGCAGGCTCATAATCATTTCTGAATCTGTCTCTAATTTAAATATGATACCTTTGAAATAATAAGCAGTCAAAAATGATATAGTTATCATTCTGGCAATTAAACAATCAGAAAGATAATCATGTCTCACTTTTCACAAGTCTAATTAAAAAGGAAATGAAGAAAGGTCGATAGAGTTTTAAGATTCTGAAGAAATCTTTCAATGACTTCAAATGCTGATGATATGGGTCTTTATTTCATCTAATTTTATATTTAAAAAAACATGACTTACCAGGTGTACAAAGGGCCATTCTTACATTATCAGCCATAGACGGGCCTCCTTTAAAAAAAAAAAAATAGGGAACTGTGGGAAAGAGGGAAAGGGTTGCCCAACGCAAAGCTTTTTTTCTGCCTCTTTAAGGAAACCACCTGCTTCAGTATACACACGGCAGGGCCTACTGTCAAAATCTACCATGTGTTTAATAGTAGGTCTTCAAATATGAATAGTATAAAATCCACACATGTTTCTACACAAAAATAAAAGCATTTTTGTCCTAAAACATGACATCACATCAGATGCAAGAAAAATGGTAGAAAAATGACCAAGTCTACAATGCTTCATGTTACTAACCAGGGAGATGGTAGAGTCCTGAAAGATGGAAAGAGTGACATCTAGTGTCACATGATTCAGAGCTGTGTTTGCAAGTGTGGGACATGGACTATGATTTTAGGCCTTGCTTTTCAAAGACAGGAGGACATTCAGCAGCATGAATCACACTATGAAAATTACCTTGTTAGTCATTGTTCACTTTTTCATGGGAATAATCGCAGCTTGGTGCTAATTTAGAGGGACAATATAGTCCCAGGGTTACAAGCGTGGCTTGAGTTTAACAGTTTGGAATAGAATCCCCACTCCGTTACTAGCTGCCTGGCCTTAGGCAAATGTCTTAAATCTCTGTGCCTCCATTTCCTTGTCAATAAAATAGAGTTATAAAGATGGAAGCTGCTTTGTAGAATTAAATGAGTCAAGATATGAAAACTGTTTGATAAAGAGTTATTTAAGTGCTTGCTATACTTATGAATGTGGTTTTTTTTAACTTCTTAAAAAATACTTGCTAATTTCCTTTTGAAATGGGGCAAAGCAGGTTTTAAGGCATGCAATACTATCTAGCTGGGACATAGTAGCAAAATTGTATTTTTATTGTCTTTGCTTTATGACCATCTATTTATGACCAAACCTTAGTAAGAAATAAGATCATTGTTAAGAACTGTTTATCAAAAATGTATACCTTCTACACCATAGTTTTGTGATGCTGTTTTCTCAAAGGGAGAGGCTGCTGTGTGACAAAGCTGGTACATGGAGATTCTTTATGTACTGCATGCCTTTCTTCTCTCCCTTTCTTCCTCCATCCTGGTCCTCTTTCTATACCCTCTATGTTGGGCAAAGTCACTCATCCAGCTGCAGCAGTCAGGCTTTCTTGCCCATGAGTCATTCACTATAGCAAAAGCCCTGATCTACACAAGCCCAAGAAACCCACTGAGGGGTCAAGTCAGTACGCAGGTGACATCTTTGAATCTGGACCCAGATTCCAGTGGGCTAAACAGTGCTCAGGCTTACTCCATAGTCATCACATTTGGTGGGCAGCAAGGAATCTCTCACAGCATGACTGATCTGGATTCCACACCTTGCACACCTTAGGGAGCAACGCCAGCACATATGGCCCTGCCATGCCATATGAATGGCAGTAGTTGTACTGCAGATGATTGTCAAAGCTTCTCGTGTCACGTTTTCCCACTGCAGCACATGGCTGCCTTTCTGGTCTTTACCCACTCGGACACCCCAACCCCCTCACTGCCACGCCTCTACCTGGAAAGCTTATTTCCTTCCTGTGCACAAGGCTGGCTCCTTCTTCACCTTCAGGCCTTACCTCAAAGAGGCTTTCTCTTACCTATTAATCCATCTAAAGGGCCTCTCCATCTCCACCCAGTTATTTTCTCTCAGCTTGCCCTACTCTGTTTTCATAATGGAACAGTTCCTTTCTGAAATTGCTTTCATTTCTTGTTTACTATCCATCCATCTGCATTATAAAGTAAGCTCCAAGAAAGCAAAGCACCTCTTATCTTATTCGCACACTAATCCTAACACCAGGACAGGACTGGGACAGAGTCACTCATAGAATTGACTCAGATATCCACTGGAAAAAGGAAGGAAGAAATGTGAGCCCTCAAATGAGGTGATTGAGACAAGGTAGAGCCAGAGTCTCAAATCAAGGAAGCCCTCATTCCAGCTTCCAGAAAGCATCTACAACATCAAGTGTTTGCTGTGAATGATTCCAGCTCTACCACCAAGACCATCATTGCACATTCTGAGCTTAGTATTATGTGACACAGGTGTCACTAGGTACAAGCTCACAGCCACTGCGTATTTCATGGTCAGAGTCCTGTAATAGTTAGGAAATTCTTGCTCTTAACATTCACTACCTGCTCCGAGGACTGGCCTGTGGAATAAACAAAATAAATCCATTTGTTCTGTTGCCAGTTGCTCTACAAATGTTTGTTGAGGACCCCTTAGACTAATAGGAAGCAGCATTCATCTGAAAAGATAGAAAACAAGTGTAGAAATGAACAAAGACCATCCAAGTGAGAGCAAACTGGTAATTTATTCAGATCTTGCTCTAGCATGGAGTTAGTGACCATCACTTGTGTTTGGAAGAAACTCAAAGACAAGAAGTGGAGGGGGAACATTTTATCATGAAAAAAGTAAGATTTTGAGTATGCCTTGACTGGCAGTAGCTGGGATAGGGAGGTTGGTGGGATTCATTTGAAGCAGGGATCTTATATGATCAGTTTTGAGGGCATATTTTGCTTTCTCCAATTGGTCCAGAATTTAGAGATTAAAAAAAGAGTGACAGAGAGAAACTAACACACACTGACCAAATCCTCATCATTTTGGGTCCTTTGCTACAGTCATATTGTGTCATACTGCATCACACTGTCATGTTGTGATATTATGTGGCCACTGTATGTTTGTATATATAGCTACAAGGCAGGGCAAGGTGAGTAACCCTTGAATGGCCTAGCCACATACTGGAGACAAGGAGTGGGGAACAGGTGGTCTTTCTAGGGAAACTGACCCAGAGCACAGGCCTCTACTAGCAAATATTTCCTCAGCAATTTCAGACTACCTTCAGGTGGGATCTGTTTAAGTTGGAACCCTCAAGTATCTGGAGGAAGGATCCACAGGACCCAAAGGCACAGCTTTTTTGGTCTGATTCTGCTTTCTCTCTCACAGAGGCTGCAGGGAAATGAGATTCAGTCAGTTTTGGAAGACCCCGAAGATTGGCTTTCAACTCACAGCTTAAAGTTTGAGAAACTCACTTTGGCTGACCTGATAAGTCAGGGTACAGCTGTGCTGTAAGTCTAAAGCCGTTCCTTTCTTTTCCCAAGGCTGCAGTGACGCAGCCAGACCTTGGGCCTGAGACTCCTTCATAATGTTTTGCTTTTTCAGGGAGGAGAACAGCAGTGTCATGCAGGAAATACACTTCTCCACTCAGACTATTTGCCATTTCGAATCAAAGCTTTCTGAGTAAGTATGTTTCCCAATGTTCTCCCAACACCCAGAGCTCAAAAACTGTCTATAATCCCAGCTGAAAGCAATTGTGTTCAAAGAGTAATAATCTCAGTGGGGCCCTGGGCAGATCATCCATCTTTAACTCTGGTTTGCCATTTTTCTCAAATTATAAAGTTGGACAAAACCAGTGTCTTACTGAACATGATGGCACACACCTGTAATGGGAGGCTGAGGCAGGAGAACCATCGAGAATTCAAGGCCAGCCTGAACTACACAGTGAGTTCAAGGCCAGCCTAGACTATGTAGTGAGACCCTGTCTCAAAAAAACACAAGCCCAAAACAAACCACAAACAAACAAAAAATCAGTGTCTTTCAGCCTTTTAAAATCCATGGTTCAGCCAGACTTGGTGGCACACACCTGTAATTATAGCATTCTTGAAGTCCAAGGGAGGAGGATCACAAGCTCAAGCCCAGCCAGGAAAATTTAGTGATTTAGTGAGAACCTGTCTCAAAAAAGAAAATTGTTTGGAGTGGGGGAGTAATGGGGGTGTAACTCAGTGGGAAAGGCTGGATTCAATCCCCAGTACTGAAAAAAAAAATTGTCCCTCCAGTTGAACACCCAAAACCTCACAGCTACATTTGGTGTTAGGATTGACTACTTTCAACATCACACAAGTTAGGTTCATGTCTTTGCAAATGTATGTCAGAAATTTGCATGCATCCACACTCCTAAACTAATTTTAATAGCACAAATATATATGTGTATATATTCACAAGCATATCTCTGGATAATCAGTAATGGATAATTAAGATGTTTTTTACAATTGTATTTCAGCTATGGTAATCTATAATCCATCATTACTACTTGCCTGTGGTTTCTGGAAAGGTTACAATAATAATTAATAGTTAACATTTATTAACATGTTGGAAATTGTGCTAAGTGCTACATGTATATCTTATTTAATTCTTAAAACTACCTAAAACATTGTATTACTCTCCAGCCAGTTAGCCAAAATTCAATTGCTAAATGATTATTCACAGAAGACAAATTTACTTATTTATCTGTTGGAACTGAACCCAGGGACTTATACTCATCTACATTCCCAGTCCTTTTTAAAATTTTGAGATAGAGACTTTCTAAGTCACCCAGGATGTGCTCAAACTTGTCATTCTCTTGCTTTAGAGTCCCAGTGTTTTGAGATTAGAGGTGTACATCACTACATCCAGCTTGGTTTGCCAAATTTGGCAAAACACTTTAGTTGTAAATTTTATATTAAACTATAAATTTTATAACAACTTTTATTATGTTGAAAGGTTAAACATGTTTTAAAGGATTCCATACTATTTTAGTTGGTCAGCTTTAATCATGAATGCAGCACATTAAGGAATACACAAGGCTATTCAGCTAACTGGTCATTTTGCAGGTTGATTTTCATAGAACTGGCTTTCAGTAAATTGAATTTTGACAAATTAGCTTGGATAGAGTCTTGTTTCTATCTTTTTGTTGAAGAAGATGAAATTTTGGGACTCAGAGCTAGTTAGTAAAGAGCAGAAGTGGACCTCAAACATAAGGAGGTCCCACTACACAGAACTTGCTAGCTCTGTAGTCATGTTCAGACGCCCCTTATACTGCATCCACCATGATTTCACATCCATAGGCCTTTGTAGCTCTTCTCTAGGCTCCCAATCCTATCTGCCCTCAGTGAGGACAAGTCAACTAAATTCAAGTGACTGGGTCTTTACTTTGAGCACCTGTCATGTCCTGGTGTCCTGCCAGTTACTGGAATGATTTGCTTTACAATAAGGAAAATTCAAGGCATAACCCAGCTATTTTTCAGACATTAATGTTTTTGTTAATTAATCCAGCAAGAAACTACTGCCCAACTGCCTCTGCATGTCTCTGTGTTCAGTCTCCAGGAGATGAGGGACAGTTCCACCTGAGCAGACAGAGATTTAAGCAAGTGCAAGAATGTCTTCTTAGCTTCCTCCTGACACCGTGCACCCCCATCCTGCCATACCTGCCCTCACTTTGCAGCTCCCCCTGGGCTCCATCAAATCGTGTTCACTGATGGTGTACAGCACCTCACCAGCGTAGCGGCTCTGCACTCAGTCCCTTTCACAGTGTCCTTGGCATTTTATCTGGTGTCCTAACTCCTGTCTGTACAATAGTTAATTTTCTTTCTAGATTTCACCTTATATTTTCCCAAAATCTTAGACATATTGAAAACATCCCATCCATATCTTCTGTGGATATAAGTTTGCTGCTGTTTAGTGATGAAGTCTTTCTGGTGTCTTGACAGAATTATCGAACTCTATCAACAGAGAATTCAGTGGCTTACAGAAAACAGCAAGAAGGTAACAGGCTTGATTTTTCGCTTCCCCCATTTCACTCATTCTATCTGTATGGATTAGAAAGCTTTCTGTTGTAAACCAGGGATGGTAGTACAGACCTGTAAACTTACCTACTTGAGAGGCTAATGTGAAGAATCAAAAGTTTGAGGCCACCCTGGGCGTTTTAGTAGCTTAGTGACACTGGCAATCTTTTTAAAAAGGCACTCAGTGGTAGTAGAGTCCCTCAGATTCAATCCCTAGTACCTTGCTTAAAACAAAGCAAAGCAAAAAAAAAAACACAATGAAACAACAATAACAAAAACATCCTTTTGGTTGCACATGATAGATTTTCAGCTTAAACTGATTTAAACTAAAAAAGAAATCCCATAACCTACATGAACCAAATCCCCCAGAAACAGCTGTATCCAGGTATTCTTGGTCTCTGGACTCTGCTTTCCTGAGATTTGGTTTTTTCTCAGGACAGATCTCCTCAACCTTAGGAAAATCATCACCAGGAGCTCTTAGCTTGCATGTTGCCATCTAGACAGCCATATAGTTGAAAGGGACTGCCTTTCGTTCTCCCTGTATATCCTCCCAAGTCCTGGGATTGCCGCTCATTGGACTAATTTAGACCAATCCATATAACCAAGAGGTGAAATACACTAATGCAACAAGCTGGAATCTGTGATTTTTTCTGGAAAAATATAGAGGATGGGGCATCTGGGAGGAGACTGGGTAGCATCTCCCCACTCCAATATTACGGAGTGAGGAAAAGAGATAGATGGTGGCATATGGGAAGTAGAGTGCTATTTCCAGAAGAAGAAATAAATCCTGTACAGATGAGAAGCACAGATATCTACTGGGCCTTTTAACCTCAGACCCATAAAATTTATGACTAAGGCTGATTATTTGGCCTTAACTTTTCTTTAAACATTTTCCTCAGACTCCAAGGGTAGGAAAATTATGGGCAAATTAACCTTTGATTGACTTTCTTATTTGTTTTAGCTTATTTTCCTCCAAATGATAATTTTCTAGTTCTGTATTTCTTCCTTTTTTTTTTTTTTCTCTTTTTATCGGTACCGGGGATTGAACTCACGACCGCCTGCTTGCAAGGCAGGTGCTTATGCCTCTGAGCTAAATCCCCAGCCCCCTCTGAGCTAAATCCCCAGCCCCCTCTGAGCTAAATCCCCAGCCCCTAGTTCTGTATTTCTTACACACTTAGGTACAGTCCTTGGCTCTCTTTTGAAAGACAGATGCTGGAATTCATGCCTCCTGTCCAAATCCCATTTCTATCCAAGACCATTAAGAACCAACGTTGTGCTAAGGCTGTCTTAGCAGGGTGTAGCTGATTTGGATTCAAAACCTTATTCCATTGCTTAGACTGGTTCACAGGTGCATTTCTCCAGCTAAGGCATGCCTCTTTTTTTTTTTTTTTTTTTTTTTTTTTTTTTTTTGGTACCAGGGATCAAACTTACAACTGTATACTTGCCAGGCAGGCGCTTATACCATTGAGCTAAATCCCAAGCTAGGTATGCCTCTTCTGTTTGCCATGGTAACACAACCCAAAAAGATCTCAGAGGCACAAAATCCCCACAATAGGGGAATGTTGGCTCCCTCTACCCTCCCCTATTGCACCTGTCCTGGCAATTTTGGCAAAGCAGGGTTGGCAGATCTTTCTCCTCCCATCTTCTAATAGAGCTTCGGAGGAGCTGTGAAATGAGCCCAGATCAGATCCCAGAGAAGTGGTCACCTGTAAATCAGTTCATGAGGCCTCCGGATATAGAGGCAGCCTGGAGGATAGAAAGAACTCTGGTTTACTTTCTGCACTCTGCTTCTCTGCTCTGCCAGGAAGGCTGTGGAAAAGTGGTCTCATTCCTCTGGTATCTGTGAATCTGCATGGTTATAAACTAGTATCATGCAAGCCAAATCTGAACCATAGTCATGCTGGTTCCTTCATCTGAAATGTTTTCTCGTGTTGGTTGCTAAGATTTAAATATCCCACTCTTTCACTCTTATGTCTGCCTTTAGACTACTCTTAAAATATGAGTGGCCGGGCATGGTGGCACATGTTTATAATCATAACACTCAGAAGGCAGGAAGATTACCAAAAGTTCAAGGGCCAGCCTGGATTACATAGTGAGTTCAAGGCCAATATAAACTATGTAGTAATACCTCATTGAGAGAGAGAAATCAAGGCATAGAGGGAGGAAGGTGGAGAGTGGATGAGATGATGTGAGAAAGGCAAGTTCAAGTCAAGAGAGCCTATACATTTTTTTTCCTACGTGAGAGCTGTGTTGTAAGGGTGAGACTATATTATATGGGGGAGCAATGTAATCTGATGTTAAAAGAATCACTTCAGTTCTGCAAAAGTGGACTATAGAGAGAAAAGGAAGGAAGAGAAAGACCATGCCAGGTGAGAATGGTGGTGGCTCAGATGCGGGTGCCAATGTGGATGGGATGAGCAATGGTGGATTCAAAGCACAGGACTAAGGTTGAACTGGCAGGACTTGCTGAGGGCTGGGGTGAGCCAGTGTGCCTGGGCTGGTAGAGAATGCCATTTCTGAGAATAGGGAAGGCAGGCTTGAGGGAGGAAGCAAAAGTTTTTGTCTGGAAACGGTTTGCATCTAGAAATATCCTCCAAACATCATATGTTCAGATGTTGGGCTTTTGGAAAGGGATTGGGTCATGGGGGCACCATGTGCATCAGTGGACTGGTCCATTGATGAGTTCAGAGCCGAATGTGCCATTAGGAGGTGGAGTCTGGTCAGAGGAGGAGGAGCCTCACTGAAACTATGAGTCCTTTAAGTTGTGGGTATCGGGTATTTTGTCCTACAAACAAGAAAAGTGACTAAGATGCGTAAAGTCTGAGGGACTCACTAGCTGTTCAGAGATGTGAAGCAGCTGTAGAATGTATATGTCCCAAGTCCCTAGAGGAGCCTCCCAGAGATGGTACTGAAAGATCCTAGATTGTGAGACCACTTGTAGCAGTGAGAGCAGAACAGTGACAATGTGACATTTTGGGGATCATTTTTGGTATTCTGGGTGGAGATGCAGGGATTGCTAGTATCTGGTTTAGCAGCAACCAGGGATACTCTTCAACAGCCTGCTGGTGCACTGGACAACTCCCCACAATGAAGCATAATCCAACCCAAAGCATCAACAGTGCCCAAATTGGCAAACTCAGTACAGATAAACGGGAATACATGGGCAAAGCTTCAGTCCATGTTTCTCAAACTTCAGTGAGCTTCCAAATCACAAGAGGGGAGAGGCAGTCTTGTTAAAATGTAGACTCTAGGCAATTCTGAGGTATGGCCTGAGATTCTGCATGTTTAACAAGCTCCTCTATGATGAAAATGATTACATTTCCTAGGACACTCTTAATATATACACTTTGGAACAAGGAAGAGGCTCTATCTAGCAACAGAGATTGAAATGGACAGGTCAGTATGGGAAGGAACAAACAAGGGAATATGGTGTCCTGAAAGACAAGAGTACTAAATGATCCAACTTGCCAAATTCTTAAATCACAGTTAAACTGTGTGGTCTACTACTTGGCCAGGGATATAGCTCAATGGCATAAGCACCTGCCAGCAAGTGCAAGGTCCTGAGTTCGATTCCTAGTATCAAAAAGAAAAGAAAAAGTGGAGAACTTGGGTTTGATCTTGAGTTTGGTAAGAAAGAGGAAATTGATCATGTTGGTGAGTGTGGCTTCAGAAGAGGGAGGAAGTGAGAGCCTAATGTGAGTATGTCAGAGAAGTGGAGGGCAAGGATCTGTCACCAAAATGGGAAGCAAAGAAACAAAGCAGCAGGAGGAGAAAGAAGTTGATTCCTAAAAGGTTTATATCTTCACAAAAAAAATCTTCAAAAAAAAGCAAAGCCTGTTTGGATGGTGATAAAAATTGTACAACAAATCAGAAACAGTTGATGACTCTGAAGAAGGGCTGAGCAAGTCCCTGTGTGATCAGAGAGGACTCAGGAATAGGAGTCAAAGTGTTGGTCTTAGAGATCTTGTAACCAGAAAAAGGTGAAGCAGGTGGGCCTGTGGGCAGATAAGTCAGTAAAGTCTTTGAAGCAAGATTTTTTAACAAGTTCTCCTCAGATTGTTTCTGTTCCCTCAATGAAACTGGAGGCAAAATCACTCGCTAAGAGAAAGCAGAAAGAGAATCTTTGGAAATGTGAGAGAAGACGTAAAATATTCATTCCTTGGTATGGCAAAATGAATTGAACAGGAAAATAAGGCATGTAATAAAGTAGAATATAAAACTAAAATCACTGAATGGGAGCTACTGCCCCTAGAGAACTATTGGTTTCACATGAATGAAAGTTTTCATTCCCAAGCAGTTCCAATGAAATAAACACTCATATACCAAGCCAAACAGCATTGACATGTAGATAGTTATCACAATTAGAAATATAATTAAAACTCACAGAAATACCCTGCCAGCTGTTGCAGATCTGTTGGTAACAGATCTGTCTTTGATAGAGTAGGCAAAACATAAATAAGGATATATAGAGAGTAAGATAAATAGATGTAATTAGACATTAAACTGTGACACCTTACAAGGGATGTTTTTCACAGTCTCCAGATTTTCTGCTATAGGCATGTATTTTATTAAAGCAAACTACACATACTAAGGAAAAAGAGCTTTTAAAGAATAGGCTGCTAAGAACTGGAACAGATGATGCCCAGAGCTGGAATCAGGACACCGAGTTTTGCTTGCTCCCTTATAAAGTGGGGCTTCCATCTATGTCTTCCTGTGGAGGTGAGGGGACTGTTCACACCTCTGCATCACACAAAGCTGCTCTGTGCTCCAGCCCAGGAGCAGCAGCAGAGCTGCGCTGGTGTTTCTGAACAACTTCTTTGGTTCTAGGCATTTGGCCTCATCAGGGGGACCAGAGTGGCCATCCTCATTGATGCATCTGTGGCCAGCCGTGGCCCTAGAACAGAAGAGTTCCAAAATGACTTTATGGTAAGTGTCTTAGGCACAAAAAGTACCTGGAGCCACCCCTTCCTGCATTTGCTAACTGGCTTTGTTTATAGTTTCAAAATGGGGTGTTTCATAAAGAACAGTTCACACTTAATTAGCACCTGTAGTGAGAGGAGTATGTGAGATTCTGTGGAAACACCCCTTACACACACACACACACACACACACACACACACACACACACACACACACACAGTGAGTAATTTTAGATTGCTATATGAACTTCTAGTATTCTCACCACAGTAGTGCTTCTCAACTAGGTTCTGTCTCAAGAGGCCTTGGATTCCCTGGAGAGAGTATGCAAGAACAGTGTGTGGTTGGAGGCTGACTCCAGCACGGTGTGGGCTGCTGGCCACTTCTGGATGAGGCTCTATTCTGGTTTCTTTGCACATCTGTAACAGAAAAGCACAGAACTCTGTGTCAGATGACTGGAGCCAAACCCTAGCTACCTACTCCATCTCTGTGTGTTACTTACCTCCTCTGTAAAGTGGAGATGAAAACCATGGCTAGCTTACGGGGTTCCCCTCACAATGAAAAGTTTGTGGTTTGTGAAAATAACATGCTCAGCACCAAGTATGGCACACAGAGAGAAACCTCTGTAATCTTTATGAAACCTGTATCTTCGTGAGGTGTTTTTCTTGTTGTTTTGTTGTTGTTTGAAATGCCTAGAGTTTTGGAGAGACAATAGCAGCAATAGTCCCTTCGATTTCAAAAAGGTCCATGTCTTGGTTACTTTATGCTTGTCGCTGAGACAAAATACCTGGAGCCCAAAGTTGGGAAAGGAAAGGTTTATTTCTTACAGTTTTTGGAGGTTTCAGTCCACACTCATTTGGCTCCAATATAGGCAGGCATGGCTGGGCTGCAGTTCATGGCGGCCGCCAACCGCAAGCTCGAACCAACAAAGAGAAAGAGACACCTTCTTCCTGCCATTACATCACATCCTGGCTCCACCCCTTTGTGGGTGGGGCACTGACACCATCAATCCAAGCACTAGACACTGATCGAATAACAAATACACAATTCAAACTCATGAGGCCTGGGGGACACAGACATAAACCATGACAGTCCACCAGAGCTTTAACAGGCTCAAATATGACCAGTCGTCCAGATTTTTCCTCTGCTCATGTCTCACTGAGGGCCAGGGAACAAGTATCAGTGCAGACTCCCTCATGACAGTTCTCAGGACTAAGTTGCCACAGTTCCCTAGGTGAGGTGGTCTAACACTAGCCAGGGATCTCAATTACTGCTCCTGTTGATGAGACAAAATACTTGACACCCAAAGTTAAAAGACAGAGGGTTTATTCAGTTCACAGTTTATAGAGGTTTCAGTCCATAACTGGCTGGCTCCAAGGTAGGGTGGTGTGGTAGACAGGCATCGCAGAGGAGAGACAGTTCATCGCAGGAAGAAGGTAGCAAAACAGGCAAACAAGAAATGACCACAGCTCTCTCTATGCTTGTGCCTTATCCAGACTACTTAGGATGGGTAGCACTCATACCCTTAACCCTATGCCCTTGATCCTAGCATTACACCATGAATCAGTTCCAGCATCACACACTCTAAATGCAGCCACCTGTGAAAAAACCTCACGTCTGACCACATGAGGCTGTGAGGGGACGTCTAGATACAAGCCATAATACCAATGCTGTGCCCACTTTCTCATCCCTGACTCTCACGCCTTGGAGAGAAACTGTTGTTCCTGACCTCTGTCCTCCCTTGCTGGGCACCTCAGTTAGTCTGGCCAGAGCACATTCATGATGCTCATGTCACGTGTAAGAACCAATAGACTGGAAATAAATGTTGACTAGGGGCTGTTAAGCTGAGGTTCAAGCACCTGTGTTTCAACACAGCTTACACCTCAGCTCAGAGGGACCAGCTGAGGCAAGAGAGGTGAAGCCAGGCCCCCCATGGCCCTGGCTATGCAGGCTAGTGATGTTCTTTTATCTGGCAGAGCCTTGTTGATGAGCAGCTGAGCCTCAAGGAGAAGCTCTATGTCCTGTCCTTCGGCACCACTGCCCGGCCTCTCTGGCCAGACCCCACGGAAGTCTGCACCTCCAAGTAAGTGGCTCCCTAACCTTCCCCATGATGTTCCCTTCTTAATTTTCCACCATGTCAGTGTCTTTATTAGACATTTAAGGTGAAAACCCAGGACTCCAGTAGGTAAAGAGTACAGAATGACTCAGGACTGAGTTGCCAGAGTTCCCTAGGTAAGGTGGGAAACACAGGCAACCAATAATTTTTAGAATGATGTTCACATCATAAGAAGTCTATTAAATGAAAAATAAGACACTATTTTTTAATCCAGCAAACTGGCAAAGGTGATCTATAATGAAAATGTTTTTAAAATTCAAACAGTATGAAGAGATAAATACTAGTGAAAGACTCCCATTCACTTCAGTCTTCCTTTTCACCCCCTACTTTAATTTAGTTTACAAGCAGTATCCAACTCTAAAGCTTGAATTTTATTTTATTTTGATTTTTGAGACAGGGTCTCACTATGTAGTTCAGGCTGGCCTTGAACTCACTATGTAGCCCAGGCTGGCCTCAAACTCATGGCGATCCTCTTGCCTCAGCCTCCCAAGTGCTGAGATTACAGGTATGCACCACCATGCCCAGCTAGTTTAGATTAGTTTAGTTTAGTTTGCAATGGGACTATTATTATGTTGCCCAGGCTCACACCCATGGGATCAAGGAATCTTCCCACTTCAGCTTCCCAGGTGGCTGGAACTACTAGGGACACATCCTTGTATCTGGCTACCAATTTCAGTTTCTAATCTGTATTTCCACTGAAAGTCTGTGGAGCTGGGGATTTAGCTCAGTGGCATAAGTGCCTGCTTTGCAAGCACGCAGTTGTGAGTTTGAGCCCTGGTACTGATTTGAAAAAAAAAAAAAACCACAATCCAACGAAAGTCTGTACATACATGCAGCTCTCTTTCTCCAGAACTCTGATTTAAACATCAGCAGTAACATGTGGCACTATTTGTACTTTGATTTTTTCCACTCAATCTTGACTATCACTCCCAATTAGTACGTATAGCTCTGCCTCATCTGTGATGGCTTATGTAATATTCCACTGCATAGCTGCCCTTTATATGGGAGACTACTTTTGGGAAATTTGGGGGCCTGGAAGGAGGTATGTAAGAAGTCTTACTTGTGCCAATATACAAAAATTTCTTTTTTGAAAAATAATTTTTGTTTGGTATTGGGAACTGAACCCATGACCTTGCACTTGCCAGGCAGGTGCTGTGCTATATCCATTTTTATAAAGAGAAATCCCTGGTCACCCACCATGTGTCAGGTACTATATATGATGGCATGTAATATTTATAGCCACCACATGGAATAGATTATATCCCCATTTTGTAGATGAGGGAACTTGATTTAGGAAATATGCCCAAAGTAAAAGAGCCTGAGCAGATCCCAGGAAAAACTGTAAGCCTAAATTCCTGAGCTTAAATAGCTATCACTAGCTGTGAAAAGAAGCTCTGTCGTGTAGAGAAATTACCAGTTCTGGCAGCGCTGGCTTGACTTCCACCTCTGATAGGTGTTAGGGAGACTCTGACAAGTCCTTTAATGTTCTCATTTGCAGAAGAAGCCAGTGACCCCCTGCTTCTGACAAGCTAATCAGGATTAAATGAAAATTAAGTACATGACACAAGATAAATACTCAGTGAATAAGAGTACTTTGTACCCTGCTTTTACATCTCTAGGATATTAGACTTTGAAGTCACTTTGAGAATTTCTAGCCTAGGGCTCCTCAACATAATCATTCCTGGGCTCCCATTGTCAGGTTACCATGTCATATCTCAGTCCCGTTACTATTACTTACTCTGTGCCATCTGCAGACTATTATGAATTTTTTTTCTGTATCAGGAATCAAACTCAGGACTTCATGCTTGCCAGGCAGTGCTGCACCACTGAGATAAATCCCCAGTCTCTATGAATTTTTCTTTATATCAACTTCATTTATTGTTAAAGGAAACCTTCTATAATACCTTAACTGAGAAGTTCATATCCGCTTGGCATTATTAGAAAGTAGCTATAAAAATACACACAATGAAAGCAAAGCAATGATATTAATTTCAGCTTGGAACCTACTAGCTAGAGGTCTGGAAAGCCTGGGATTTTCTTTTCCCCTCTGTTCAAAGAGAGGCTCAGGGAAGGGAGTATAGCTCAACAGCAGAGTGCTTATCTTGTGCACACAAGGCCCTAGGTTCCATCTTCAGCACTGTGAGGCTATGGAATTTATAAAAAGGCAACCTAACATATAACAATAAATGACAGGTTTATTGGCACTAACCTGAGACATTTCCTTTCTTTTTTGCATGGCTAGGGATAGAACCCAGGTTCTGATACATATTAGGCAAGCACGTTACCACTGAGCTATATCCCCAGCCCCTATATAATGCTTATTGTTAATATTTTAGAGAATACTCCTTCATTGGTATGAAAAAGTTTATCATAAACGGTATGACAGTGTTACACCAGCGGCAGCCTCATCTTTGATCGTTTCCTCATATTTGATTTCATTTACTGTTGTTTAGTGAGCCATAACACATACATACTCCATAGAGTCTAGATCTGCAGTAGGCTGCAGTATCTAGGTTTGCACACTCCATGATGTTCACCCAACAATGAAATCACTGAAAGATGTTTCTAGGAACGTGTCCTAGTCGTTAATCAGTGCATGACTCTGCTTATGTTGCTGTTATTGGCTCCTTCCAGCCTCCAGGAACTCAAACTCTGGGTAAAGAAACTGCAGCCTGAAGGAGGCAGCAATTTACTACAAGCGCTGAAGAAAACTTTCCCTCTCCAGGGGCTGAATTCCTTGATGATCATAATGAGAAGCTGGTAGGTCTGCTTTCCTAAGGGGGTAACAGATTTTGTAAGAAAGGTTGAAAAACTAAAATATTGTTTGAGAAAAGATCACCAAACATGACACTTTGCAAATAATCTTAGAGAAGGATGATAATTCGCCGGCTACCTGCCTATTCTCCACCCAACTCAGCATTGTTTTGTTTTGTCTTTGAGACAAGATCTCATCACATAGTTCAGGTTGGCTTTGAACTCTCTGTGTATCCCAGGCTGGCCTTGAGTTTGCAACAATTTTCTTGCCTCAGCCTCTAAATGCTGAGATTACAGGTGTGTGCCACTGTACCTGGATAGCCAACCTTGCTTCTTACACAGGTGGCTTGAGGTACAGGCGGTTGATTAAGAATTAGTAGATGAATCCAGATGTGATGGCACACATCTTTATTCTCAGTACTCATGAGGCTGTGGGGTAAGAGGATCACCGTGAGGCCAGTGTGGGCCACATGGTGAATTATGGCCAGCTTGAACTGCATACTGAGAGCCTGTCTTTAAAAGAAGAAGATTAAGAAGAAGAAGAAGACGAAGAAGAAGAAGATGAAAAAGAAGAAGAAGAAGGAGAAGGAGGAGGAGGAGGAAGAGGAGGAGGAGAAGAAGAAGAAGAAGAAGAAGGAAGGAGGAGGAGGAGGAGGAGGAGAAGGAGGAGGAGGAGGAGGAGGAGAAGAAGAAGAAGAAGAAGAAGGAGGAGGAGGAGGAGGAGGAGGAGGAGGATGAGGAGAAGGAGGAGGAGGAGGAGGAGGAGGAGGAGAAGAAGAAGAAGAAGAAGAAGAAGAAGACGAAGAAGAAGAAGAAGAAGAAGAAGAAGAAGAAGAAGAAGAAGAAGAAGAGGAAGGAGAAGAAGAAGAAGAAGCAGGATGAGTTAGACGGCTGGGTGCATCTACTCATTATTTTTGCAAACCCCAGCATTTTGGGAGGCTGATGTAGGAGAATCCCAAATTTAAGCCTACCCTGGGCAATATAACAAAAGAAAAACAAAAAGAACTGGGGGTGTGAGAGGTAGCTCAGTGGAAAGGCCCTAAGTTCAAACCAGAGCAACTTCTAAGGAGAAAAAAAAAAGAAAAGAAAAGAAAGAAAAAAGGAACGGGTCAGTGTTCCCTGGGAATCATCGTTTTGGTCTAAATGTTTTCAAAGTGCTGACCTGACTGTCTCACTTCTCTGCTGTCTCCTCCCCAGCCCAGATCAGCCTTTGGAAATTCTGTCTGACTACATTCAGCAGTCCACCGTGGGAAGCGGCCTCATCATCCACTTCATCACCTACAAATGTGATGATCAGGTGCCCTCTGTAAGTACCTGACATGCTTCAAAGCTTCTTGGGGTTTGTAATGGTGATCTTGGCCAGACTTTAAGGTTCCATGCCTGGACAGGACTCCCACACTGTGACCAGAACACTTCTATACCTATTTCTCCCATTGGCAAAATAGAAAGCATTGAAGAGTAGGAAGGTTTGTGAAGAAGGAGGCTTGTGAGAGTACTGGTATGGATCTAGCAAAGGATGACCCTGTCACCTTCCGTCCCTACAGGCTGTCCTAAAGAACCTTGCAGAAGCACTTGGAGGCTGCTACCACTGCTACAGCCCAGAGACAGAGGTAAGCCCTCTACCAACACACTGCCCTCCAAGGATGTGTATCCGGGCCAGCACAGTCCAGGCATATTGCTTGCTTTTCCCACTCTCATACTTGGTGAGTTTACACAGGTAAAATTAGGTTAAAAGGAGTACTCAGGAAGATGGAAACAATGCAAAATCACAAGAGCTCTTTTGATCAGCACATCTGACAAGCTGATCAAATACCTGTGGATCTAGAGACCTTTCCAAGTGTGATTGGAAGAATCGTCAAACATTATTCAGTTGGCATTAATACAGGCCTGGCCTGTCTGCCACCATAGCACTGAGTCTGAAACAGTCACCATTGCAAGGTGACTGCAGAATGAGCAGTCAGCCCTAGCTCAGCCCAGCCATTAGTGTCCTGTTCCGGTATATATAACTGAAAATCACCTACTGCACATTCATAACAGAAGCCAACAGTTAGCAAATATGTATAGAAAGCACCTGGCAAATTAAGAATCCAATTCTCTGTCCAGCTGATGGGTTGTACCTGCTAGTAACCATGAGTAAGTGAGTATTTGTGTCTCACAAGGATGTTCAGATATCAAAAAGTTTGACTTTTCATATTGGGAAATCAAGGTCAGCAGCAACATTTCCTAGACTGTGTGTCATAGACTACAGGAGCTAGAAAAGTAAATAAATGAAACAGGCTAGTTTAAGAAATACTTTGTCTTTCCAGGTGTGGTGGTGCACGCCTGTAATCTCAGCAGTTGGGAGCCTGAGGCAGGAGAATTACTGTTTTTGAGCTCAACCTGGGCTGCATAGTTCAAGGCCAGGCTGGACTATAGAGCAAGACCCTGTCTAAAACAAACAAACTACAAAAACAGCAACAACAAATGACTACTTTATCTTAAAGTCTATCACTCTCATCTGTTATCTGTTGTGTTTTCTCTCTTGATGCAGAGATTAGTAAAAAAAAAAAATTACCATCTGTATGAATGTGATCCCAGTGCTGCCGGGTCTTGTGATTTTTATCAGAGTTTCTGGCACAATACAGAAGCAAAATGTATAAAATGAAAAGAACAGGTTTATTGAGGATGTGGAAAGGAGCACACAGCCCATGGTGGCTGGGCTGTCTCCTCCAAACGGATACAGAGAGGCAGAGGGTTATATGACATCTGAGCAGAGGTGGCACATGGGGCTGATATTGATGATATATGAGGAACCGATTGGAATTCTCTTTGTGTGCAAACGGGAAGGGGAGCTGTAGTTAGAGCTGAAGAAGGAGGAAGTGGTAAGCATTCCGAGTTTGGCCTTCTGCCACATTAGACCACTGCCACACTTGTACAGTAATTTATACTAGGGCAAGAACCTTTCATTCCCATCTTTGTATTGTTAGGAAAAGGGTGAAGACTGTCTCTTACTACTTCCTGCTGGGCAGGGGCATCATGTTGGAGTTTAGGGGGCTGATGCCCATGTAGAACCTGGTACCAGGTATTTCAGCTAGGACAAGGAGTTTTTTGTTGTAAATGCTTGCATACTAGATTGGAGAAATAAAAAGACAAGATGCTATGCGGAGGCAGGTCACTATCATAATAAAGCACCCAGGAGAGGTAGAAGAAAGGTGCCCTTGATCTGAATGTGTTGTTCTATTAAGACCATGCTGAGGAAGAATCTGAAAGGGAGGGATTGAGTTATGAAAGGTAATTATTCCCTTATCTGAAAGGGTAAAAGTGTAGGTAGGACTTGTCCTTGGCCCTGGGGGTTGAGCAGGAGAGAACAGAAAACATGAGAAATGTAAGGCCTGACAATTGAATCATGTTTGGGAAATAATAAACTAAGGGTGGGGAGGGCTATGGCTGCATCACTATAAGTGACACAAGATCCTAGACTCAGGGGAGTCTTATGTTTAGAATGTAAGGGATTAGAAACCAAGTAAGATAACAAAACATGACCTAGCCTGAAAATTGTGACTGTGGGGCCTTGATGAGATAGAGACGGGAGATAGGAGATGACCATTCAGGATGTTCAGAGTCAGGGGAGTTAGGGTTAAGAGGGCATCACTTAGCTTGAGTGACATGGAACCAGGACGACAGGCCAGCAACTTTGACCACCACTGAAGTTCCAAGGAAGACCAGGTAGGGGCACTCTACTTTGGTTGGAGTTCTGTTTAGGGATCTGAGAAATAAAGGCTGGACCATTATCTGACTGGATACTCTGAAGTAGACCAAACCTTAGAATGATTTCTTGTAATGGGACTTTAGTAATTATATCAGCAGTCTCCCTGGTTGTGGGGAAGGTTTTTATCTATCCTGAAAAAGTGCAGACAAAGGTGAGAAGATATTTAAGAGCTTTGTGGCAGGGCATGTATGTAAAATCTACCTGCCAGTTCTGACCTGGATTGTGTCCGCAAAATTGATGAGTAGGAAAGGAAGAGGGTATGTGACCCTGAGGAGAGGTTCTAACACAGAGATGACAGATGTGAGTAAGTTGTTGAGACCTGAGAGTGTCTGGTCAGTCTACACAAACACAAATGAATCCTGACAATCAGGGTATAGGGGGATGGTGAAAAGGGCATCATGAGGACTATGAAGTGAGTGATGGAGGGAGGAATATGAAAGTAAAAGAGTTTGTTACCACTGGTGAGTTGGTAACAGCATCATTGATTACCCTGAGGTCTTGTACCAGTGATAGGACCCCTTAGGCTTGAGTATCATCAGAAGGGGAGTATTGTAGGGTGAATGGATAGGTTTAAGAAAATCATTGTCTAAAAGATGCTTGATTATAGGTTTAAGTCCCTGTAAATGTTTGGAGCTATAGGATAGTGGGGAATGCAAGAAAAAGTTGAGAGATCCCTGAGAAGAATTAAAACAGGCATAGCATGGGTAGTATGGATGGGGCTGGAGGTATCTCAAACTATGGGATCAACAAGGGAAGAAGAGAAAAGAGGGGATGACTTCGTGGTGCACTGTGATGGTGTTTGCAGGGCAAGAGCTGTGGGGAAGGAGAAGATAAAGGAGAAGTTAAGCTTTTGGAGAAGACACTCGCCTTAACGGGATGTTGGAATTACCAGAAAGCTATGGGTGAAGAAGAGAGTTTGGAACCTGCATGGAATGGGCCCTGTTTGAAGAGGCTGTGTAGGCTGTCTATCAACACCCACTATAGAGACTAAAGATTTAATATAATGGCCTGAAAACTCAGGAAGAACACTATACATGGCCTCCATGTCCACAAGTACAGAGAGTGTTTTACTTGAGACCTCTAGTGAGACTTGGGGCTCTGAAAAGGGTACTTTAATGGGACTGTGGGCCATGAGCCCCATCAGTCTTCAGCAGCAAGTGCAAGTAGGTCCGTCAGTGATGAATCAGTGGTGAGAAGATCTGTGAGGGGCCAAGGAGTTAGAGTATGGTTTACCCACTCTCTGGAAGCTAGAAAAATTTAATGGCCCTTGAGATTGCAAAGGAGGCATTCTCTCACCCAGTGTGTTTTTTGTTGCACTTGAAGCATGGTCTGGGAGGGGCTCAGGCCTTGCTTTGTGCCTCAAGTGCCACTGCTAAAAGATCAGATTGTTATTTTTTCTCCTTTTGAGTTTTATCTCTGTTGTGAAAAAAACACAAAAGACCATATTAAGAAGGTCTCCCTACGGGGTTAGAGGGCCAAGTTTAGTCTTTTGTCTTGGAATCTGGCCCACAGTAAGAGGTATCTGTCTTCTTCAAGGTCACAAGACATCTGATCATGCTGGCTCCTTTGAGGCCCTAGCCCTGTCTGACTGCTTATAATATTTTTAAATGGCTCAGTGGCATTCCCCACTATCCTATAGCTCCAATGGCCACATAGTCCAATGCCTATACCATTTTTTTCCTCTGAAGAAGTAACCCAAACTGAGGGGTAATGGGCAATAACCTATCTGGCTTTTTTAGGCTGAAGGGGGTTGAAGTTGTTGAATGGTAGTCAGGGATACTCTGCAGAACTTTTAACTAGTAGCCTTCAGTAGATAGCAGGCATTTTCATCTTGAGTAGGTGTACATCTTTAAGTCTAGAGGAGACAAAGGCCAAGAATCAATTAAGTATGCAGGGGCCAAATAATAGAACCAACAGGATATTTATGAGTATAGTTTTAGTAATGACTTCCCATAAGGAGGATAAGAATAAGGTCCAGGGAATTTTAGAAACTGACATGTCATTGATTTGTCATATACGCATTAAGTTTTCACAATTGTGTAAGTATCTCCTGTGCTGTTAGAATGTCTAATGCCATCTGATTTTGGAGGATGGCCTGTTTTATTAATTTTATCTTTTTACTGAGGAGAGAGATCAGCTGTAGTGTCATTGAAGGCTTGTTGAGTATAGTTAATTATGGTCTTAACATGTATCATATAACTTTTTTTGGAAAAGATCTGGTGGATTCCAGTAAAAGGAATCTAGAAGGAATTTATAATTATCTCTAAATTTTAGTTGTTGAACATCCAGAAGAAAAGATTGATACTAAGCTTAACATAAAACATTAAATGGAACTGCTATTTTCTGTTAACCATGGGTGTTTTAACTTTAGAGATGACATTTTATAACATATCCTTTAATACAATGTCATTGAAGAAATTTGGGACATTGTTTGGACTTCTCAATATTTAAACAGCTCTAATATAGTGGCACATATATAACATATACATTACATAAAATTTTTATTTAAAAATTATCATTTGACTGGTGGCCTCGTGTTGATTTGACTTGCATCTCCTGACTGGGGCATAAGAAAAGGGCAGATGTCTGGATCTGAAAGAAAATGTTTATCTTCATAAATAATCCCAATTTTACATTTGAAGACATAAATATACCATAAGATCAACAATAATGAATTGTCTTAGACATATGAACTTTTTGGGGGGTATCTCTCATAAGGCTATGGAGATTATTGGGGCCTCCAATTAATGAATAAGAGCGGTTAAAGTTACCAGGTGGCCACATAGTCCAATCTCTTCTCACTCCAAGGGATTCTGTTTAACAAGTTCTGGCATCATTTTGACCAGCTGGCAATGTAGGTGGAAGCATGCTTTTTAAATCTATATCCCAAATAAACCTTTATTAAATGAACTGAAAATGCAAAAGAAAAAGGAAAAAAGATTGTTGAGCTCAAATAAAAAGGAACAGCTGTTTACAGAGCAGACAAATGGACAAACATGGACAGATGATCTGTACAATACAAACAGACTGGACTAACAGACAACAGATATACAGACTGACAAACATCTTACAAAATCAGAGTACACTCAAATATATTTGGACAATTTGAACTATAATACATTGACTAGTATAAACCTTTTTGTAGGTTAGTAGAGATCTCTTAAAATAAGAATAGCACAAAAAGAACCTAATTTATAGTTACTCTGAGATAGGTTGGCAAGGGGTAAAAGGAACATGAATATGAACCAGTCCCTTGGGACTAGCCTGTTCCTGAAGGGGAACAGGGATTGAAGCTGAGAAGGCTGTGGGGCGGGAGGTGTAAATGGCCACCGAGCAGCCAACCACCCAGCAGGAATTTGTGTGCAGTTACTGGGTGATCAACCACAAGATGACCACTTGTCACCATGTGACAGGGAAGTACAAGATGGCAACTGGTTACCATAACATCCACAACAAGGTGGCTGCTGCCAGTTACACAGGGAACACAAGATGGCAACTGGTCATCATGTGACCTGCAACAAGATGGCTGCCTGCTGATCCCATGATGAGGGAGGAATCAATTTACCTTATGACCTGTTACAAGATGGCAGTGCACTGTCACATGGTAGAGGACCGTAAGATGGCTGCACTCTATGTGAGCTGCAGCAAGATGGCTGCTAAGGACCATGTGGTATAAAATTACAAGATGGCGGTCAAATACCTTGTAGCCTGCTAGGTGGTTGAAATGTACGAGACTGAGTATGGTGATCCAGTAGGGAAAATGGCACTCAGGAGCAGGGGACAAAAAAGAAGAGGGGCCGTCTGACGAGACAAATGGCTCAGGCTAAGGAGTTTGAGATTGGGGAGAGGAAGTAAAGAAGAGTTAGAGACTGCTGAGGGTGAGGAAAAGGGAGAATGAATGAGAGAAGAACAGGTCCTCAAAGTGAGAAAGGCCTGAAAATAATGGGCTTCTGCCAACTTGCCAATGTTGTGACAAAAGCATAAATAAAAGGTCAGCTTTTTGGTTTTTATAGCCTTCTTGAGGCCAAGAGCACCAAGGTTATGAATCAGGCACCCCAGAAGTGTGTTTTTCAGGGGACAGGAAATGATCCCATGACCAAATTATAAGTGAGCTGAGAGAACATTTTTGCCTTGGGACATAAGAGCTTTAGCTCCCCCACAAAGAATGTGAAAGCTGTCCTAGATCACACCTATCAAAAGAAATCCTCACCTGTTTTGAAAGTGTGACACGCAAGGTCCCAACACCCATTCTCATTGGCCATCACTGAGAGCGCAGGGGCCCCAGAGAATAAGAAAGTAACAGTTTTGCCTTCAGCTATCCTGTCCCAAGAATCGTGAAAACTGCTATCTCTGTCTAGGGATGGCAATGGGTAGGTTTTCTGATGTAAGCTTGTGAAACTTAGGAATGGAAACAAAGAACCTCAGACAACAGCTCTCCTGTGATGAATGAGAAGGATCGGAGTGGCATGAGGACTAGCAGCAGCAAGTAAATAGGTCCTGGAGGAAGGAAAGGTGGTTTGTAGGCAGGGGAGCTTGAACTGGGGTGACTCCCAGAAACTAACGCACTCTGCCATCTGAGTCATGGCACCAAAAATGTTAGGTTTCTGGTGCAATACAAAAAGAAAAGGTTTGTGGAGGACATGGAAAGGAGCACACAGCCCATGGCGGCTGGGCTGTCTCCTCTGACCGGATACAGAGAGGCAGAGTTCTATGACCTCTGATGGGAAGTGGCAAGTGGGTGGATATTGATGACGTGTGAGGAACTGATTGGAATTCTCTTTGTGTGCAAACAAGAAGCGGAGTTGCAGTTAGGGCTGAAGAAGAGGGAAGTGATAAGCATTCCTGTGTCAGCCTCCACCACTTTAGACCACCGCCATAATTGTACAGTAATCTATAGTAGAGCAAGAACCTTTCCATTTTTCAAAAAGAGTCAGAAATACGAATTTTTTTCTATTTAAAAAATTGAGGTGAAATTTGAATAAAATGAATCACTTGAATAAAATTTGAATCATTTTAAACAGCTTAGTTGCCTTTAGAGCATTCACATTGCTGTGCATCTACGCTTATGCTAATTCCAGAACATTTTTGTCACCCAGAGCCCAGGAAGCAGCACTCCCTTTCTCTGGCAATCTACTGTAAATCCATTTCCTGTCTCTGTGGGTTTCCCTGTTCTGGGAATTTCATATAAGTGTGTCTGGCTTTTTTCACAAAGCATGATGTTTCAATCAATGTTCATTCATGTTGCAGCAAATGTCAGTACTTCATTCCTTTTTCATGAAAAACAGTCCATTTTCTGGATAAGCCACATCTGTTTATCTATTCTGTTTTTGTTTTTGTTTTTCCAGAATTTGGGTTGGAATCCAAGACCTTTGCACTGAGCTATTTCCCAGCCTACTTTGTATTTTCTTAGAAAGGATCTCACTAACTTGCAGAGATTGGGCATGAACTTGGAATCCTCCTGCCTCAGCCCATCAGAGTGCTAGGATTATAGGCATGTGCCTCCAGGCCCAGTTATCCATTCATCTTTCCTTTTTTTTCCAGCACTGGAGATTAAACCTAGGGTCTTTTACTCAACAACATCCCCAGCACTGTTTCTGTGGCAATCTCACTAAGTCACTGAGTTGCACAGGCAGGCTCATTTGTGCTCCTCCTGCCTTACCACCCCCCAGAGTACTTGGATTACAGGTGTGCACCACCATCCCCGAATTCCTTCACAATTTTAAAATTAGAAAAATCCTTTATAGCCAGGCATGGTGGTGCATGCCTGTAATCCCAGCCCTCGAGAGGCTGAGGTTAGAGGATGGTTGCAAGTTCAAGAGCAGTCTGGGCTACAAAGTGAGTACATGGCCAGCCTGAACTGCATAGCGAGACCATGTCTCAAAAAGACAAAAAGAAAGAAAGAAAGAAAGAAAGAGAAATCCTGCAACTGTTAAAAACACCACATGCTAATAGAATTACATGGAAGGAGACATATCTACAGGCTGTATCTAGTTGAAACCCTAGTCTTCAATTTCTGATTTAAACACATTGCTACTCAGATTTGGGACCTAACTTGACTGCTTGCCCTTTCCTGCCTTGATCACGGCTGATAGGCCAATGACTTCTGGATGACTGACCTCTCCCATCATCCCTAGCTCTATACCAGTCGGGATGTGGATGAGCTGCTGGCAGAGATCCAGAAGGCCCAGGGCCTCCTCAACCACATACAAGCCTTGCGCCAGAGCAGCCCCTGTGAGGAACTGGCCCGCATGATGAAGGAAGTAGGTGGTACTGAATTGTTTGAAGTTTGGGGACAGCCTCTCTCTGTGCTACATTTGCTATGTCATTTAACCTCCCAGAGCCTCGGTTTTTCGCTTCCTAACTGTGGATGGGGAGACACTAGGCTAACTTTCAGGCCTCCCTAAGTGATTTGGTGTAGAAATCACTTTTTAGCATCCTGAAACCTTTAGCCCCAGAAGGGGCACTGTTATCTCCAAGTCTGTGGTGAAGATAGGGAGGCAGTCAAGAGGGACGGCAAGTGAAAGAGGAAGCAAGTTATTGGGGACATCTCTGCTTCCAGAAGTTCCAGAAATCTCCAGAGAAGGGGGGAAGATGATGGAAGGGAACGGCAGAACTGCCTTTACTATACCAAGTAATGTTTTAAGAGTCTCCCCTAAGGGACCGAGCAAGTAGGGAAGATTAAAAACTTTCTAGCTCCAAAATGATTAAGTAATTTAAATTTTCTGATTTAATTTAGATTGCCACAGAGTATACAAGAGAGTCACTCACGGATCTTTTGCCTAAACCCCCAAAGCATGATGCTCCTCTCACTATTGTGTTCCCAAACCTGGAAAAGACTTCTGCAGAATGGCTAAAGATCAATGGTCTAAAAGGTAAATCCCCAAAGAAATCAGAATTCAGGACACAAATGACTAAAAGACTGGGCTCTTCAGGGCTTCCTGGGCAGCACCTAAAACTCCATTATTTTTTTTTCAGCCAAGAAATTAAGCCTTTATCAGATTCTGGCACCCAATGCATTCTCTCTTGTGGAAGAATTTGTACCTATTCTCCAGAAGACAGTATCATCAACTATCCATGAGGTAATTCACATTTAGAGTTCCTTATTATCTGTAATTTTCATGTATTTGAAAAAAACATGAAAATAAAGCTTGGGAGAGGGGGTGTGATGGGATAAATTAGGTACCACGGTCACCTCCTTCATGATGATTTTCTTCCACTCCATTCAGATAGGGCGGACTTGCTACTTTTTATGTCCTCCCTGTACCATGTTCAGATAGGTACAATTGCTCCTATAGTATGCAAGTGTATGTAAATCCCTACCAAGTGTGAACTCTTTAAGAGAAAAGACGCTCCTCTCCAACTCTGCATCTCACATATATATTACAAGTACACAATTAATGGCTGAGCAGGTGAGTAGGTGAAGAAAGAAGAGAAAGAGGCAGGAAAAGAATAATAGATGGGTAAGTGGATGCAAATGTTGATGAATGAATAGAAATATGTAAGGAGATAGGTGAATGGAGAGGGATAGAGGGATGGTGGGTAGAAGTGTAAACAGATGAAAGGGTAGAAGAGGAAAATAAAATGATGGATAACCAGAGGTAATAAAAGACAAAAGGATGAAAGTAAAAATTAAGTAAAAAGGATGGAAAAGTGAAAAAGGAATAATAAGTAAACAGATTGGTAGAAAGATGGAAAGTGGGACATGGAGATATATGGTTCTAGTAGTGGATGGATGAATGAAATGACTAGGTGAACAGAGTGTTAGACATGAGCTTGGTGGAGGGTGAAAGAGCACAATGACCAGATTGTATAGTCAGTGTCCATGAAGGCCTGTCTGGCCTCCCAAACCTAAGAAACCATGCCGTTTATGTTTTAAGATCTCTGACCCTGTTCTGTATGACCCAAACCCTTCCACCATGTCATACGACTCAAAATACTCTTCCAATAAACAACCTGGCTTGCTGGCAGTCAGGGTTCATCAAGTGATCCTGATGCTGCTCCAGATCAGGCAATGACCTGATCAATGGGTTGGTAGTATGTGTGAGTCGATAGAGTAATTCAGCCCAGATGGACTCCGAGCCTATTTTCCTGCTATGCACTTGATTCATTTAGAGTCCAATGCCCAAATTAAAATTCTTTCTTATGTGTGCTTATCTTCACCTGCTCCCACATGTGCCCACCTGAGTGCAGAAGACAATGGTACAATTTGAATGGCATGATGGGACAGTGAAGAATATCCACGTGGATCCACCCTTCCTCTATGAATACCAGGTCAGAGATGAATCCATCAGTCAGAATATTTGGTGCACTGCAGGATGTGATGGCACAGGCCTGTAATCCCAAGACTCAGGAGGCTGAGGCAGGAGAATTGCAGTGAGTTCAAGGCCAGTTTGGGCTATAGAGTGAGATCAAGAACTACATAACAATATTAAGACTTGTCTCTAAAAATCCAAAAATAAAAAAATGTGGGGTATAGAAAGATATCATGGGCTTTAAAGATACCAAGCCATTGATTTAACTTCACAAGAGGAAAAGAGAGACTCTGTGCACCATCTATAAACACTGCTCCCACAGGGACCTGGATCCCCCAAACAAGAGTCTCTAATCTTGCGGGGCAAGATCTATGTCCTACCCCATTTGACACAATGAAATATTTCAATTCTTCCTGTCCTAGGATTGTAGAAGACTTTCCCATTACTTAGTAGAATATTTATACAGCCTGGACATGCAGAAGCTTGACACACGATTTCCAGAAGCCACCTGGAGTGTAGTGTGTCCCTGCTACCCCAGGAGCTCTTAATTGTCTACCTTTGAGCAGACTCTCATGGGTGCCCATGCTTTTCCAGAAACAGCTCAGCAGAGCCATGCGAGGGTATGAGAGGCGGGTCGAGTGGCTCTCACTGGCCAGCAGAAGAATCTGGGGCACCATCTGTGAAAAGAGGTACCTTCTCCCAAGCAGTGTCTTGTCCTTTGTGGTCTGATGTGTGGCACATAATTCATCCAACTTGTGATTCTCTGTGAGTAGCTTCAGAGGCCTTAACTTAGACTAGGGACAAAGAATCTTTCAGCAGAACCTCTGAAGAGGGAAAAGGTCACAACTATCATCAGGATATCACAATATCATCAGGATTTTTTTTTCAGTTAAAAAGCAAGAGAGCAGGGTGTAGTAGCACATGCCTGTAATCCTGAGGCAAGGAGACTGCTGCAGTTTGAGGCCAGCCTGGGCTACATAGTGAGCTCAAGGCCAGTCTGAGCTTGTAACAGTGAGACCCTGTTTCAAAAAAACCAGAAAAAAAAAAAAAGGCAAGAGAAACTGGGCTGGGGATGTAACTCAGTAGTAGAGTTCAGTAGTATACTGCTGCCTTCCTAGCAAACACAAGGGCCTGGGTTCAATCTCCAATAGCAGATGGGAACAGAAATCTAAAGCAACAGAAAATTCCAGAAGAGAGGTGAACACTTTCTTCAGTCATGACTAGATCCAGAGATTCCCCATGTCAAGAATCTTTCTCTTAGCCCTGCTTTCTGTCTGTGGGCTTTGGACTTTGTAGGAAAGTTTTTCCCTCTGTTGATCAGACAGCTGCCCAAAGCCCCCAGTTTGCTTTCTACTAGCTTAGCACGCTTAGCACTTGGGCACCACCCACCCCTGAGCAAGTCACTCTGGTCAGGGAGGACAACTTGGAGAGGAGTCATCTTCACCTACCTCAAATGAACTGATAGAAGCAGAGTGTTTCCCAAAGCAAAATTGGGATGCAGTTTCCAGAAGAGACAGTGGATGCTGAGTATGGGGAGATAATATGTATCCAAATATAATCGAACTGCTGGATATGGTGGTGCATACCTGTAATCCCAGCACTGAGGCAGGAAGATGGTTGTGATTTTGAGACCAGCTTGGACTACAAAGTGAGGTCAAGGCTAACCTGAACTACCTAGTAGAACTCTGTCTCAAAAAATAGATAGATAGATAGATAGATAGATAGCCCTAATTATCATTCTATATTTGCTGCATTACCATTTACAAAGTTTTATATTTTGTAATATTATACGTTTGTTATATAATTTAATTCCCAAGCAACTGTATGAGGAGACATTATAGTTCAGTACTTCCCACAGATTAGAGGTTTTGTGACTTGGCTAAAGCTGGTAGAAAATGAGACTTGGAAAAAGGTCTTCTGATTCTAAAGCCCAGTGAATTTTCTTTTGTTTCAAAATGAGAATCAAGAGGAGGAACTAGAAATATAAGGTGTGAAACAGTAAAAGGCTAGAAGATGGAATGGAGCTAGAGATCTTAAAATAGTGCAAACAAAATACACAGACATTTCCCAAGAGGCCCAGATACTCCTAGTTCACCTCATTTGTGCACCTGGTTTCTGTTTTCCGTAAAAATACCCTGTCCTATAAAAAACATCAAATACTTATTCTTTAAAACCAGAAATTTATAAAAATGTAGCCCAGGCCCTTAAACTATCTCTACTGTGAGACTTTATCCCATTATGAAACCTCTGGGGAGAGAAGGTCCCATGCCCCACCTTAGTCCACCACCATAAACCCATCTCTTTGGCCTCAAAGAGGTGATTTTGGCCCCCAATGAATTCGGAATGCCAATCTCCCTGGAAAACACTTTAAATAGTAAAATGGAACAAAATGAACATTATCTGAGAGATTCGGTTCTCCTCTTGAAGCTTGTGTTTCTTTTTAGGGTGGTTATACTGCTCGATATCTCTGTGACCAATTCCATGTACATTATTCATATCCAGCACTCCCTGAGGCTGCTGCTGGAGGAGCAGCTGTCCAACAAGGACTGCTTCAACCTCATCGCGTAGGTTTCCCCACTGGAGGGGTGTGGGATGGGGCGCTGTGTGCATTTGGATGCCATTGCTGACAGGGCTGTAGATAACAGATGTTTATGTTCTGAGCACCCAGCATCCTAGGATGTCCATGGGCTTATCTGCTTTGGGTGATCTTGTTTGGGTCACTGAATAATTAATTGTTGCAGGACGCTCTCACTGGGGCGAAGATGATAAGTGGCCCAAAATAACACTGATTGACCAGCCAAGATAAAGTAATTCAGTCCATTGCCCCATTTGGCTTCTGACCGTACAAACACAACAGAGAAAAGCTCACCTTGGTTCTAGCAAGCCACAATATGTTGGACCATTAGAATTCTAATTCCAAATTTAAATTTTACATATATAAGTTTAAATTTTATCTATGGTACACACATTTTAAAACAATAGTTTAAAAATTACATATATAACATACATAGTTTCAAAATATATATAATTTTCATATTATGTAAATTATGGTTTTAAAAGTTATAGATAGTATATAATTATGCATACATATACAGCTTTTACATTTTTGTTATATATTAGTTTTTAAGTTGCACATGTAATTATATATATCATATCTTTAGTTATTTTGCATATAATTTTATTTAATAAAGACAGAAAAGAAACCACTTGAAATATAGTGTACATTTTTACATTATTTCTACAAAATGGGGAATATTCTGAACCTATTCAAATTATCAGTTATTATTAAATATTATTGCAGATCTTAATCTTTCTCTAATAGGTTCAACATAAAAATGCTTAGAAAGCCAGGCATGATGGTACACACCTGTAATCCCAGCACTCTAAGAGGCTGAGATGGGAGGATCACAAGTGTTACCCCAGCCTGGGCAGCTTCCTGATTTAGGGAGATCCTGTCTCAAAATCAAAAATAAGTATGAAGGCTCTGGGTTCAATCTGTAGTACCACGTACACAGAGATGCTTAGGAAAACATATTCAATGTTTTCATTCATTTATTTACCCAAACTCTGGTTTGACAGAGTTTCATTGAAAATCTGCCATGTACCAATCATTGGGCTGGCATTGGGCATTCAAAAGTACTCACAATATCTGTGCTCTGGGAACTGATGGCCTAGTTGTAGGAGCCAGGTATATTAAGAAAAAATAAATGCCACTTAGTAGAAGGCAGGATATGGGAACAAGATGGATCAAAGGCAGGAACGGTCCATCCTGCCCAGGCTCAGTTAGATCAGAAACTCTGTAGAGGAAGTACCTTACAGCTGGCCGAATGGGTCAGTTCTCACTTCACAGGGTCGATGTGCAGTGAGAAAGAAGGCCATTCCGGATAGAGGGCATGGCATGAAAGAGGCATAGAGACATGGCATATGGCGGAAATTTGGTGACCATTGGGTAGTTTAGTGTGGACATGAGCATAAGAGGGAGAATTGTGCATGACAAAAACGTCAGAAGGCCGAGGATTTTCATAGGCCATGCCCAAGGGTTTCCTATACTGCAGGACACAGGTGACTGCAGCTAGTGTAATGTGTCAGGAAGGAGGCTGACCAAAGCTGATCCTTGTTCTGAGCTGTGTTTTGTCTGAGAGCTACAGCTCTGTCTGCCCCGAATTTATTGGAACAGGTCATGGCCAGTAGGAGAATCTCATGGCTGGCTGAGGGAGGTATTTTTGCTTTTGGGGTGTGGGGGGCAAGTGTCATCAGAATTTTACCCCCCTAAAAGCCTATGGAGCCAACTTGAGCGGGGCTGCAGAGTGAACCCACCCTCTGCTGTGAACAATCCTGTGTCTCCTTCACAGGTTTGGAAGCACAGTCGAGAGCTGGAGGCCTGAGATGGTTCCTGTGAGCCATGACAATCTCCAGAGGGCCTGGAGGTAGGTGCCAGCAGACTAGTGGTGCTATTGTGAATGAGGGGAGCTATTGTCTTCTCCATCCCTGTCCCTAACAGAAAGAAGCTTTCCAGGGACCCCACCCTCCAAAAGCCATGGGCAGAAGTCAGGAAATAAGTTTCTGTCTGTGCCCTCCGCTGCAGGGCCTCAGAGGTGGCCTCCCTCCTGCTCACTCTCACTGCCTCTTCCCCAGGTGGGCCCTGAGCCTGCAGTGTGGAGGCAGCAGGAACGTGCTCGGTGCCCTGCGGAAAGCTGTGGAAGTGGACTTCAGGGACAAAGATAAACACCAGTCACAGGGCATCTACCTCCTCACGGGGGGCATCCCTGACCAGGATGTGGTGGGTAGGCCCTGTGGTCCTGGGCATCTGTTATCTTTTGTGACCCCATCCATCTTCCCCTAGGTGGATGCCTTACAGTGACATCTCCAGCACAGTATTTTATTATGATCTATTTATGTGTTTGTTTGCTTGTTTGTTTGTTTGGTGATGCTAGTGATTGAACCCAGGGCTTTGTGTGTGCTGGGGAAAAGCTTTATCACGGAGCCATGTTTCCAGCTCAGCATGATTTTCTAAATCAACCCTAGTAAAACATTAACATGCCTACAAACCTGGGCATCTGCTTAGCGTGTAGCTCCTGGTCCAGCAGGTCCAGGTGGAAATTGGGAAGCTGTGTTTCTGACAAGCTCACAGAGTTGTTGGTGTTCCTGACCACAGACATGCTTGAAGGAACCAAGCTCCCAGTCGGGCTCCCCATCACACCCTATTTAGCTGCTGAAAGAAATCGTGACCCAGACTCATCTCTTTTTGTCTTCAGTGCCAAGTACTAGACCAGAGACACAATGGACTCCCAGAAAGTTACTAGTACATCTGTACACACCTCCCTCTGGGAGGGAGGCAGGAAGATCACAAGTTCAAGGCCAGTCTGGGCAACTTAGTAAGACCTGTCTCCAGTTGTGAAATTGACGCACTGCCTACTGCACTGGGGAGGCAGGTCCTGTCTCAAATTTTTTGAAAATAATTTTTTTAGGGGCTGAAGATTTAGCTCTGCGGCATAAGTGCTTGCCTGGCAAGTGCGAGGTTGCAAGTGCCAGGTTCAATCCCTGATACCAAAATAATAATGATAATAATAACAATAATATTAATAATTTTTTTTAAAGGACTGAAGATGGAGCTTAGTGTTAAGGCTCTGGATTCAATCTCTGGTACAGAAAGAGAAAGTGAGGGAAAGTGGGAGAGAAAAGACAAAAAGGAGGGAGAAAAGAGAGAGAACAGAGAAAAAGCTCTTTTAGGCAAACTGACAGGAGGCCGGCAGCGCAGCAGGCCCTCAGCTCGGGCCTGTCCCGTCTTCTCCTCTCCCACAGCCCACACTCAGCGCCTACATGGCTGAAAGCTGCGGCGGCTGCGACCTCCAGCTGAACGTGAGTCTCTTCTCCGTGGGTGAGCCACAGATGGACAGCACCCCTCCTGCCTGCTACGCCAGCCGCTCGGACACAGCCAGTGCCTACAGGGCCATCGCCTGGGCTACTGGTGGCCGCTTCCACTGGTTTGGAGACACAGGTGCGTGAGTCTTGCCCAGTTCCTCTGCCTGTCTCTTTCCAAACAGCTATGTCAACACCGACATGGCTTCCTTATGTCACTGATATAAAAAGCAGAATCTGAAAGTCATATTTTAAAATGTTTCAATCCCAAGCATAAAATAAAATAGTAAACTACTGTTCTAGAAATGAACCGTGGCAGTGGTTGCACGACAGCATGAATATACTTAATGTTGTTGAACTAGTAGATTGAATGCTTTTGCTTTGTATGCTTAAGGCCCTAGTACCAAAAATGCATGTTTTACTACATTTTTCAAAATTTCAGGGTAACAGTTGAAAAATATTTTAGAATGCTGGATCTAGAAAGCACTTAAGATTGCTTAGATAAGCATTTTCCAGAGTGTAAGATGTTAACAAGTGACCGAAATTGTAAATGGTACTTTTGTGGGTATGACAGTTACACACTTATTGTAACATATCATGGAAAAATGCTGACTTTCCACTTTTGGCAGGGTCATCAATTTTCTTTTTAAAATATGCTTTGAAGTAAACAAATAGCAAATATTTTAAATACATATATGTAAATATATATGTCTCTGTGTGTGTGTGTGTGTGTGTGTGTGTGTGAAATAAATAATGATTTAGGTGGTACTGAAACACAAACACCATGTTGGTAATATGGGAGTGAGATGGAGAGACACAACTACCTTCCAATCCCCTTGACTCAGACAAAGAAGTGACTCACAGAGACATGGTACCCATGTGGTCTAAAAGTGAATGACATGACGGGAGCTGAACATCTGGGGTGTTTCCCAGTTCTTTCTTTCCATGAAAATAGCTGGGCATGTACATTTATCAGTGATTATTGTTAATAATAGCAAATAATAGAACAGCTATTAAATACTTGACACAGCTTTAAGCATTTTATGTATGTTATGGCTCACTCTTCACAATAACCTAATGAAGTAGATGATCATTGGCCCTATTTTGCAGATAGGGAACTGAGACACAGAGCCCAAAGGCCAAGAGTTGAACCTTAGGTCCACATTGAAGCCAGGCAAGACACTGGTATTCACTACAGACTTTGACTACTGTAAACAATCCTGGGATGGGTGTTTTAATTCCATAGAGTGGTGGGACCTTTGCACTTACTCCTTTCTTCCTGCAGGAGAATGTCAGGACTCTGGAGAGTGTTGGGATAGGGGCTGGTCAGCTTACCCCGCTGATATCTCAGCTTGTCTGTTAGGCTCAAGTTGTCCATGCATGATTCTACATCCAGGTATGGAACCTGGCTGCCATCCACACCTCGTCCCCTATTCCCACAATGTGCTTTTTTCTCCTAGGCATTTATGAGAGTGATGACATCAATGCCATCAAATCTGAGATGGAAAAGGCCCTCAACTATTCCCAAAAGGTATGCTTTGGGCATGGGCCAAATGTCTGCTGGGTTTCTGTGCTCCTTTCCTGAGGCTGTCATAACAAAGCATTAGAAACTGGGTAGCTTAAAAAAACAATGTATTTTCTTTCATTGCTGGAGGCTGCAAGTCTGAAATCAAGGTTATCAGTAGGACCATATGTAAGGTATCCATACGTAAGGTATCTTGCTAGCTTTTGATGAGGGCTAATATTTAGAAGGAAAAGATTGTACCAAATGTTTGTTACAAATGGCAAAGAATTCATGTATTTAAGGCTATTGTGATAGAGGAGAGAGACTGAACTCAACTCCACTCAACAGCAAAGATAAGTGGAGATTTTTAGCCAATGAGCAGAGTCAATTCATCACCAGATGAGGTTTGAGGAGGCACCCCAAAAAGGAGATGAGGACCTTGCCTTATCCTGCTCATGGAGTATATTGTAGGTTTTTTTTTAATATTGTAGGTTTTTTGACTTATGTTACAGAAAAAAATTTCAGGACTCATTAGTGAGAGGCATAGAAAAGTTTATTAGGCAGAATTAAAGTATATACTCAGAGAGAAGAGAATACAGGCCCTTGAGAGAGGCACATTATGATCTGGGGTTGGCAGTTTTCATCTGGTTTTGAGGTTTCCCTAAAGCTTAGTGATGTAAGGGATATATTCCTATTGTCTATCAAGGCTACCCATGTGGTAGGCTATGTTAGAACATGAATATTTGTAAGTGTTTGGAGTTTACAGTTCTGTTGCCCACTTAATAGTGCTTTCTTGAGGATGGAAGTTTGTGGAAGGAAAAGCCATTTACAGGTAAAAAGCACAAGCCAATTTGCATATTTATTGTAATTTTTTGGAGTTTCTTATAAGAGAAAAGGGTATTGTAACCTTGAGTAACTTTGTATTTTCTTAAAAGTATTATTTTAAAATTAAACTTTTCCTTGTTTCCTTTTTATTTATCTTTATTTCTTCCTCCTACGTCAAGTAGATGGAACATTACTAAAAAGAACATGATTAGCTATCAAGAGTCAGGAATTCTTATTAAACAGGATCCTTTCTAAAAGGAAGGATATCAAAGATAAAAAGAAGATATCAAGGATGGAAGATGAAGCATTTGATCAGATATCAAGGGTGGGCTTTTGTCACTAATCTGACTTAACAGAATTCTTTGCTAAAATTGGGTTCAGCCTTGTAGGATGGAGGCCTCATTGAGGAGATGGCTCAGAGGAACTAGACTAAAGTTTGATAAAGGAAGGAGTCCTCATCCTTGGCTATGCTTGGCATTCCTTGATTTCTGGCAGCATAATTGCAATTTCTATCTTCAAACTCATGTGGGAGTCTTCCCTATATGTGTCTCTCCAGTATGGCCTTATCTCAACTTACCTCCCAATTATACCTGCAAAGACCCTCTTTCCAAGTAAGGTCACAGTTACAGGCACCAGGGAGTCAAACTGAAACACAGGTCATCCCACATCAGGTTCCTTCCATGTGTCAGGGTAGGTGGGTGGGTGTGGGAGTGGTTCTAGTGAAAATCTGTAGCCTCTTGCATGCTAAGCGAGAGCTCTATCCTAACCCAAATTCTCCCCTTGTGTCCTAATTCACAGACACCCAAGGCTTCCAAAGGAACACAGTGATTTCCTATGTCATTGGTTTTTGGTCTATATACTATACCTTCTGGCCTCCTTTGAGTTCCTCAAGCACATTAAGCCGTTCCTATGCTTTTTCAATTGTCTGCCATTCCCCTCCCATAACTTTCATAGCTTATTCTCTATTATGCGAGATTCAGTAAAATATTACTTCCTCTTCAGAAGAGTTGAACAGTACAAGATGCCATTAAAGAGATAGGAAATAGCCATATTATGTCAGGAGCAATGAGAGTGGAAATAAGGACGCAGACATTGAGGGCATTTAAGGAAGAATTGACTAAACTTGTAACTGGCCTGCAGGATGAGAGAAAAGAAGAAATCCAGAGTAACTCACAAGTTCCTCATTGAGAAAGTGCATAGATGGTGGTGCTATTTACTGAAAGGAAACAGGAGGAGCTTGTGGGAGGTTCAGGGAAGGAACCTTGAGACAGGGCAATTTTATGGGCCTAAAAGTGACAAGTGAAAGTGTCCCACAGGCAGATGGGAAAAGATGGGCTGGAGAGAGATGGAGATTGTGGGCCATTGAAACCATGGGGATGGATGGAGGTCTTACAGGCACTTTCTGTCCAAGCGGGGGAGGGGCCTGTGGATAAGACTCATCCTGACTCCTGTGTTAATTACTTACATATGCAGAATGCTAAACTGCGATCTCCTGGCAGACAGGACCGAGTCTTCACGTTCCTTCCCTCCAGAGCCAATGGATCCATGGATCTGTGGCTCCCCCTAAAGATGTTTTAGCTGTCCTCCTTGAAAGGCTTCTCTGGTGCTCTGTAAATCCTCCTCCTCCAGTACATGTCAGTCCAATTCCTACATCTGACAGACCCATTTGCCAGGTATTGATAGACAAAAATAGTTAAATTTACCCTTCCTTGAGATGCTTATTTACATTTGAATAGTGTTCTCTGGTGCTTCAATTGAGAATAATTCCTGGAGAAGTTTTCAGGTCTTCGAGAAATCTGCAGGCAAAGGAATAAGCATTCTTCTTCAAGTCTGGAACCAGCCCTGAACACATGATGAGCTGACCAGCATCTATGTATGCCCAGGTGTCTTAAATGCAAAGAAAAACCCCTGGCTCAGGACTGAGACACCCTGGGTTTGAACTACTCCACCTACTAGTAATATGGGCTTAGACATGAACCTTAAGCTTACATAAATTTGTTTCCTCACCTGGAAGGTGGAGATAAGATAGCACCTGCCCTCTAGGATAGGTGGCATGTCTTGCTGTATGTGGACTTGTGACTCTTAGGTATGAACTAGCCCAGTGTCTGGTACATCCGAGGCATTCCATTCAGGAATGGATCAATTCATAAATTTATCTACAGCACTCAACCCCAAGGGCATTCTAGTGACAGAGACATTAAAAAGATGCCAGGGATTCATTCCTGCCATGTATATATGTCTGTCTACAGTGTCTGGGGTGCCACTAACCAACCCTCCCAATTCTTGTCCTAGTGTGCCTTACTAGTGGCCTCCCTGAAGAACCATTTGAGAAAAGAACTGGAAAATGTAGCTGTTTCTAAAGAAAAACCAAAGATGCTCAAGCAAAGAAGCCAGCCCAAGGAATCCTCTTTACCCAAGCCTACAGCCCCCTCCATGGCCAGAATGGTTTGACTCCCCTCACGCACACCACCAATAACAAAGCATTGTGTTTCCAGTTTCCTGGTCTTTCCTAGCTCTTAAAGTGACTAGCGCAAGGCTCCCAGGCCCCAGAGCCGGGTGGGTGGAAGCAGGGGCTCCAGTGGTGCCTTCTGATGTGTGCTTCCCATCTTGGCCTCCAAGGAGAGGACTTACTTCTCAGGTCTGGCAGCATCTCTGGCTCTCTCACCTCACCTTTTGTTCTGCCTGGCTGTCCCAAGTTTGTTTCTTAGCCTGGTACTAGGAACTCCATGGAATTGGCATTCATCATTGCACATAATACCTTATCCTGAGAGGGTCTCTCAGGAGCAAAGGAATTATATATTTAAGTCTAAGGCTTAGCAGGGGCCTCTTGGGAGCTGAGGGGACCCGTGCCTGCCTTCCCATCCACAACCTGTGAAATATGTGCTGCATAAAGTTCCTGCCCCTTCTCAGAATGGGCCTCTAGAAGGAAGATCCCCATCCCCATGCATTAGTGCTGTGGGGCAGAGAAACCAGGGTTTCTTCAGCAGGTCATAGACTGAGACCCTTGTGAACACAATACATTTTCAATATGAAGACATCTGTCCTAGGCAGGGGCAGCTTCCTTTCTAGGGGTTACTGTGTGCACAGGCACTGCCTCATCCGAAGAACTCTTAACAACTTTTTATACAATACCCTCTCTGAATGCCTTCCCAGATTCTGGGAAAATGCTAGAATTTTAGGTTCTTCCTCTAAGGTTTTCAGTAGTTCCTGAGCCATTATAGATCAAGGAATCTTAAGGTGTGGTCTGGCCTCTAACAGGCTCTCCTGACATGCAGTGGAACTCTGGGAGTCCCAGAGTTAGCAGAATTCCAGCCAGGCCCTTTCTACAGCAGCTCACCTAGAGGTCTCTAGCTGACATGAAGTCCCAAAGTCTCTGTTTAATTTTTGTCACATTCCAGTTGCACTCAGTAAGGAAGCACACCACCTCCACTGAAAACTAAGGTACACAAGAGGGCCCAGAAATTGCCTGAATAGTGAGTCATGCTATAGATCTAGAAATCTCAGTCTAGTATGACAAAGGACAGAAAACTGCTGAAGAAAATTCTGGAAAATCCCCACAGCTATCTGAGTATCCTTTCTCTCCCTGTCTCATACCACACACATTCCTAGACACATTCACACACTTGTCATCCAAATTGAGTCCCTCTCTGAATTTTCTGCAGGAGATGGGCCAAACACATACAAGGAATTGACTCCTTTAGGCCCTTCCCTCCCAAAGCTCCTGGTTGACTGAATGATTGGGGTGATTGGGGTGCTACCTGCCATAGAAACAGGCCTCTGATAGAAAATAGGGCCTATTTTCTAGAACATTAAAGATGACTTGGAAAGAGAGAGGAGCCCTCCATCAAAATCTCTGAAATGTCGTCAACTCAGTGGCAAAGTGCGCATCTCCCCAGGTAAGGCAAGGCTGCGGATAGGCCATGAGTGGTGGGACAGCTTGGACACACCAACGTGTGGATTAATAATGATGGTAAATAGTCACAAGTAGCACATACCTGCAACCCCTGTGCTCTGAGAGGCTGGGCCAGGAGGATTGCAATTTTGATCCCAGTGATTATTTGGCAACTTAGCAACTTATCAAGACCCTGTCTCAAAATAAAAAATGAAAACAAAAAGGGGCTCTGGATGTAGCTTAGTGTGAAGGCCCTGAGTTCAGGCCTCGGCACGACAAATGTATGATGATGGTGACTAAATCACCAGTCCTCATCAGCCTTGATCATGTGCTGCACATCTTCCAAGAGGGTCCCATGTAAAAAGCCTGCAACATCAGTCCTGTGCAATATGTTCTCTGTAAGTTCCTCATTTTATTCCAAAGGAACTAAGGCTCATGACTATAGTTTGCCAGTTGCTTGTGATAACCAATCACAATTTTTGCAAAAGCACTCAGCTCATAAACTTAAAACCATGTGTCTTTTATTGTAAGGTCAAATATAAAGCAGAATGGCTCTGGGAACAGCTCTGGAGTCAGAAAGGCCAGAGTGACATCTTTGCTGTACTTACTAGCTCTGACTCCCACTTAACTCATCTGTGACCTGGGGGACAGTAAAGATGAAACAACATAATATATGAAGCACTTATCACCCTGCCTGGTGAATATCAGGACGTGGGGACAGTAATTATGGTTATCACTAGTCCAGGTGAGGCCAGGGGACTGAGTATGGGCAAGAGTTTGCTCCAAAGTCTCTTAGAGCTCATTTCCGAGGGATAGAGAATAGCTGACATTGTGGTATCTCTAAGTCAGGCTGTGCAGCTGTAGCATGGAAACCTATGAGGTCACCCAAGTCAACAAGCCAAGCATCATCTCTCTCCAGCCCAACTCATGGAAGAAGGGACAGTAGAGTGGAAGAGAAAGATCAAATCACGAGCAGCACAGACAGCTCTCTCCCTGTTCTATACAGAGACTGGGAATACCGTAGGTAAGGTAGAGACTACCTGAGTATCTGAACAGCCCCTGGCCCTGTGGGAACTGAAGGCCAGCAGGCCTTGTAGGAGGGCGACACTACCAACTACCCCAGGACCTACACTCCCTGCAGAGACCCTGGAGCAGGCCTATCTTCAAACAACTCAGCTCTCCCAGGCCAAGGAAATGGACTTGCAAAGTCTAGCCAGTGCCAGAATAGGAGGAACTCAATATTGAAGATGAGATCTGCCATAGTCCTTGGGTACTGCATCCACAAGGGGCAGTTTCCTTAGTCCCGAGGCTGACTGGGAAAGGAATGGAAGAGGGGAGGGGAAGGAGGAGGTTCCCTTAGCCAGCCCTATGGACTTATGTGGGGTGGTCCCCATCCTAGCAGCCACTCACTGCTGTATGCAGAAGAGAAGTCCTAAGTCCTAAGCCTTCTCCCATCTAGCCAATAGCCTTCCTTTCTATCTCTCCAACAGACTTCAGTTATGGAATGTTACAACTGACTTCCCTGACTCAGAAGTTGACTCTAGAAAGGGACTGGTAATGGGAAGGAGGAGGGAAGAAAGATGCACAAGATGACCTTGCTATTTCTCCTAGGTTCAATATATAAGAAGTACCCTCAGAGAATAAGGATACGAAGGACCATATCTTCTGTTAACTTGCCCAGGAAGGACACAGTTTGCTCAAGCCAAGAGGTATTAAATTGTCTTGACCACATACATGCCTAGACAATAATTCCTTCTGCCAGGCATGGTGGTGCATGCCTGTAATCCCAGAACTCAGGAGGCCAAGGCAGGAGGATTGCTGTGAGTTTGAGGCTAACCTGGGTTACAAAATGAGTTCAAGGCCAGTCTTAACTACACAATGAAACCCTGTCTCAAAAATAGAAAAGAAATCCTTCTACCAACCATTAATTCTAGGAGGTTGGGTATACTTGGAAGGAGAATAGACTTGCTGAGAATGACTCCTTAGTGTTGCAAATAGATTAACAGGTAAATAGAAGTTCAAATCTGGACCTGTCACTTCCTGGCTAGGTGATCTTGGGGAAGTCAGGTAGCTATACTCAGTCTCAATGTCTTTGTAAACTGAAGTCAAGAAATGAGAGTCTGGCGTGGTGATGCATGCTGATAACCACAGCACTGTGGGAGCCTAAACCTGGAGGACTGCAAGCTCAAGCCCAGCCTGGGCAATTCAACAGCTTAGTAAGACCTTGTCTCAAAATTAAAAAAAAAAAAATGAGCACAGGAAGCAAAGGGGTTGACATGAAGACTGATTAAAGTGATTTTGTAGGAAATGCTACCACAACCTGTACAGCCAGCACAGTCCTGAGAGGGAGCAATGGGAGATTAAGAAAAACTAGACACATACTAAAAGGAAAGCTGGGGCCGAGTGGGACCTGGCCTTTTTGGTGGAGAGGCAATGACCACCCGTTGTGGTCTGCATCTTTATTTATGCACAGTAAAAGGTGGGGAAGCACGTGACGGAGTCAAAAGTGCAAGGTCTCGGTGTTTTGCTGAGAACACTGAACATTCTCAGCACTGTCTGTGCTGTGGTTAGCAGGGAGGATCACCAAGGCCAGATGCCTGCGGGACTGACTTTGCTCTAGTCCCGACAACTTGTTCACATGGCCCATCTCTGGTGCTCCATGTTCTCAAGGCTGGCCTTGCTCTGGCCATGAAGCTGTGGTTGATCTCCAACTCAGTCACGCCTCACAAAGTGCTTCAATGGTATCAGATCTTTTGGTTGAAAGCAAAAGAAATCTTTTAATTTTTTTTGTTCATTTGTTTTTGAGACAAGACCTTGATGTGTAGTTTATGTTGCCCTTGAAGTCACTATGTAGCCCAGTCTGGCCTTGAACTTGTGGCAATCTTCCTGCCTCAGCCTGCTGACTATAGGGATAACAGATGTACACCATACCCAGTTTAGAAATTCCCTTCTTGTTCAGATAGCTTTTCTTCCTACAACCATCCAAAAAAAAGCTGAGCTTGGTTCTGACTGGCCCATCCTGGATGCCATGCTCTGATTGCCTTGAGCTGGCCATGTGGGCATCTTTAATTGTGACACTGAAACTATCCTACTGGGGTTTTCCACCAAAATTTCATGGTGGAGGATTAGCATGGGTGTTGGGGAAGCAATAATGTCCACTAAACAAGGGACTAGGAAGTACTCAATACATTTGATTTCTTTCTTTTTCTTTTTTTTTTTTTTTTGGTCTTTTTCATTTTTATCATTACCAGGGATCAAACTCACAACCACCTGCTTGCAAGGCAGGTGCTTATGCCACTGAGCTAAATCCCCAGCCCCAATACATTTGATTTCTTGTTCCCTCTTTCTCGCACACCTCTCCTTCGGAGCTGGGTAAAGAATCTGCTCAGTGAAGACCCAGGAACCTCACATTTCAAACATGAAACTTTAACAAATGAATTAGACAATTGGGTCTGAATTACCTACATAATAGTCCTTTTATTAATTCTAAAGTGGCTAGCAAATTACGGGTTGAAGAAACTGAAGATGGAGATATCCAGATGCCTGGGTCCCAGCTGCAGCCATCAGAAGTCCACACAGAGCTCAGCCAAACACTGCGATGTCATCCCCAGCATAGAGATCAATGTGAGTCTCTTTGTTGCTGTTTTCCTCCCCCAGGTCCTTGTGTCATCGTGTCACCTGCAGATGGCAGAAAGCAGAGCATGAGACCTCAGCTTCTATTCTTGCTCTAAGAACCCTAGCCCTCACCCAACAAGAGATACAGAATCCTGTTGCAAGAAAAAAAAATCAAGCCCCTGGAGGGCCTGAAATCGCACTTTAGGGATACACAGGCTTTTGGGGGAGAGAATTAAGAAACAAGTGCCAAGCATATAAGGCGATGGCCAAGGTACCCCTCTAAAATAACTAGGTAGCCCTAGCACTGATGATGGTTCAGTCAGGAGGGCAGGACATAGGGGTGAAGACAGGAAGCAAGGGGTTCCTTTGTCTATTTTCTTGTTTTGGGGATAGTAGGGTTTTTGTTGTTGTTGTTATTTTGATGCTGGAACAAGTAATTTTAGTACAAAATAGAAATCAAATCATTTCCCTCTTTGCCCTTTTCTATCCTATTATCAACATTAGAGGGAACTAAAGATAGCCACAAAATTCAAAATTACTCATTCATGAACTTTGGTCAGTTTTAGCACACTGACCCCTCTCTATCCAAGGCAGTCAATCCTTCAGTTTGAAATTTATGAGTCTCCAAACCCGCCACTTAGGATTTTCTATTTTAAAACTTGGAGATATTGTGTTTTATTTTGTTTTGTTTTTTCTGTTAATCACAGTGACTGTACATGCCACAAAACTATCACATTAATTTCCCCCACTCCTTCATAGAACTGTAAGTTTGGTAGTTTAATAAAAGGGGAAATGCTTTTAAATAAACAACTATATTTGCTGAACAGATGTTTGGGAATTGTGGCTCATAGTGGAATAAACTATTTGGAAGTGATGAAAATGTGAAATAGCTGATGGGTAGCAGCTTTTTGCCTTTACTTGCCTTGACCCAGGGAGTGGTGAGACACATTCAGTGGACACTCAGGGAAATGGATGTGTACATTGCATGCCTGGAGAAGGTGATGAGATGCTACATCCAGCGGCTTCGGTGGCTGCTGTCTGGTGAGCCTGCCTGCTGACCTGGGGGTGGGGGAGAATGAGGGCAGTGGAAGGCTAACCCCAGGGACACAAGGGTCAGTCCTTCACCCAGGGTCAGGTTCTACAGCACAGTCTGGTCAGGGGATTAAGCCAGGTGGGTCATGCATAAGCAGTATGAGTTTGGGGTTCAGAGGTCAAGCAAGGTGCTGGGTGGCAGAAGGAGGAGCACAACCATAGAGCTAGAGAGATCCCATGGCTGTCCAGGCTGTCCTGCAAGGCCATCTGCCTGCCTTGCCTTCCTGCACATGGCTAAAACACCTCCCTTACAGGAATCCCATCAACCAGTCGTCAAAATAGAGATAGGAGGGATCCTGACCAGGAAGAAGCCTCTGTTGTCAAAGGAGGCAAGCAGGGAAGGCGGGTGTGGAGAGCCAGGGTGCTCTCCCAGAGGAGAGTGGGCTGGGATGAAGAATCCATCTGGGCATTAAGGCCAAGAGAATGTAGGCTTTGGGGCCTGGGGGATCCCAGGAACAGTAGGAGAAAGAAGGGAATCTTACATAGAGATCCTACAGGAAGCTTGTGTGGGCCGCACAGGTTCCAGGGAAAACTCACTGGGTCTAGCTATAGTACAGCTCCTGTTCTAAACAGTCCCTGGGCAATGGTGCGCATCGGCAACTGCTCTTTTCCAAAGCCTCTGGGTGGGACACAAATGCAACATGCATTGTCAGACCAGATGCTAGGATGGAACAAGGAAAGAGTGCGCCCCTCTCCATTCCCAGTTCATACTACCTACGAGATGAGCATGAATACCAGGCCCAGATGCTTCAGACACTTCTTTTGTGGTAGAGTCCCCCACCTCACACAGAGGTACACATGTGAGCACTAATATTCTTAACTTATGTAGGGGGTCTTTCTCTGTCTCTGTCTTTGTCTCTCTGTCTGTCTCTGACTCTCTCTGTTTCTCTCTGTCTCTCTCTCTGTTTCTCTGTTTCTCTCTCTCTCTCTCTCTCTCTCTCTCTCTCTCTCTCTCTCTCTCTCTCTCTCTCTATTTCTCTCTGTCTCTCTCTTTCTCTCTAGTTCAGCAAATGAGTCCTGCTCACCTGTTAGGTGCTATAGAAGGGTGAAAGGCAAAACCATGGTCACTGATCTCAGGGAAAATATGGTCTAGGAGGAGACAGCTGTTAAGCAAAGAATCAAAAACAAGTCTAATACCATAAGTGTGACAAGCATGGGAGAGAAGGAGCATGGAGCTTACAGAGGCGTTTGGCCTGGACTGGAAGGTCAAAGAAGGCTCCATAGAGGAGGTGATATTAGAGCTGAGATCTGAAGACTGCACAGAAGTTAACCAGCAAAAGCAAAGAGACTGATTTAGACTTGGCATGCTGAGCAAGAGGCCAGATGCAGAGACCAGAGACTGAAAGGAAAGAAGCCAGTGCGGGCTGAGTAAGGTCCAGGGGGAAGCCAGCTGAGAGATGTGGCTATGGCACAGACTGTTATTTGTTAAGAAGGATTTCTTAAAAATCATTATAAGATTTTAAATAAGCAAAAATCAGTCAAATCAATGGTTGGAAAAATCCCTGTGGCTGCTATTTGGAAAATAAATTCTCAAGAAGGCGAAGTGAACAAGGTCCTGAGTTTGATTCCCAGTACTCCCCTTCCCCACCAAAAAGAAGGTGAAGTAAAATGAGGATGACTGAATCAGAGCCCAGATGGAAGAGTAAGACAGCTGGGAAGCCAGGGACAGTGGCACAGTATCTGTAATCCCAGCACTCTGGGAGGCTGAGGCAGGAGGATCACAAACTCAGACTCAGCTTGGGCAACCCAGCAACTTAACAAGACACTGTCTCAGAATTTAAAAAAAAGTAAAGGTCTGAGCATATAGCTCCATGTAAATGTGCTGAGTTCAGTCCTCAGTACTAGAAAAAATAAGATATCTGGGAAACAGTAACAGTGACGGGGATGGGTGACGTAGGCAGAGTTAGATTTAGTTGTTATAAACAGCAGAGCTTGCGCTGTTCCTTCTGTCTGGTGACTGACTGGCTGGAAATCCTCACAGTTCCCTACCTGCTTCCTGCTGGCTTCCCTCTTATTTTCTCTCTGTCAGGAGCATTGTCAGGGATCACCCAGATGAGTCCTAGGAGGCCCTCCAGCAGTGGGAGCAGACAAGTGGGTCCATCTTGTTCTGGAGAGCAGCTGGCAGCATTTTGTCACTTCTACTGTTCCAATGCAACAGAAGGGGACACTGCCTCTTTCTCACTTGGAACAGGGAGTCGCCGACTCTTTGGTGCCATCCTGGAGAGCAAAGTGTGCATCCTGCTGGACACTTCCGGGTCCACAGGTCCCTATTTGCAGGGGGTGAAGTCGGAGATGGTTCTGCTGATCTGGGAGCAGCTGCGGAAGCACTGTGACAGGTAGGAGACAGGGCTGGGCGGCATCAGGAGATCAAGAGGGCAGCGGGAGTTGCTGGGATTTCACTAGCCAAATACACTTCCTTCTCACAGTTCTGAACAGCCTTGGAAGTTTCTGAAATGCTCTTCTGAATAACACTGCACAGGAAGGATCTCTGTATTCTGTTGTGATAAAGAAGGAAAATGAATGTTTTTTAGAATTCCATCTCAAGCCCTGAGACAGTTATAAGTACAGCAAAGGTACCACCATGTGGCCTTGAATTGTAGTTTTCCGCTGAACTTGATTTTTGCAGATCAAACCCAGGATCTCTTTCATGCTAGGGAAATGCCCTTCAATTGACCTGTTCCGCAGAACTTGACATTGATTTCTTCTGTGATACTGAGGATTGAACTGGAGACCTTTACACTGAACTATATTCCAGCCTTTTTTTAAATTTTTTTTTATTTTGAGATATGTTTTCAGTAAATTGCTAAATTGCCCAGGCTGGGCTCAGACTTGCCTCAGATCCTCTTGCCTCAGATTTCCAGAATGCTGGGGTTACAGGTGTGCAGCACCAAGCCTGGCGTGAACCTGATTTTTTTAAGTGTAAGAAATTGTCCTTTCTACCTAGAAGGAGAAGAGCAATAAATACTGGTTCTAGGCTGGAATTTGTTTTTGCCTTAATGTTACTAAGAATAAATATTCATTGAGCACTTCCTGTGTGACAGGCACTTTACACACATGATTTCCTCAGTCCTTAGAAAGGTTAAATAACTTGCCCAAGACCACATACTCAAGCAGTGGCTGAGCTGGGAGTTAAATGTGTTTCTGTCTTAGGGGTTCACAGCCCTCTCCCAAGGCCTTCAGGGATCTTCAGTGAACAGGCCTCACAGAGGTGACCGCAGCAGAATCAACACAGGCCGTTCTAATCAGTCTCCTGCCTCCTCCATCACACCTTTTCTCTCCTCCTTCCCAGTTTTAACCTGCTCAGCTTTTCAGACAGCCTCCAGCCGTGGCAAGACACTCTGGTGGAGACCACAGATGCAGCATGTCGCGAAGCTATACAGTGGCTGACCCACCTGCAAGCTCAGGGGAGTACCTCAATCTTGCAAGCATTATCGGCAAGTACTGCCATTGAACTCAACCCTGAGAGCAGAATCAAACACCTCCATCCCCTATGCTGATGTTGCATGATTTACAAAATGTTTCTCATCTCCTCCCACCCCAACACAATGAGAAAGGATTCTTGTTCTTACTTTAGAATGAAAACAGAGGCTCGGAGAGGTTAAATGACTTATTTGGGGTTAATCAGCTAAGCAGCAGGATGTACTCAGCGACTTCCTTGATCTGTCTTAGGCTAAATGAGAGCCTCAGGCTTAATGGATAAGTCTGTAGCACTCAGACACATTTTCCTTAGAAACATTAGGGACCACTGTCAGGCTTTTGGTTTCTCTCCTTCCCGGTAAGCCCTGTCTCCCAAGGTGACCACATCCCTGTGCTCTCTTAGAAAGCTTTCAGTTTTCACGATGTGCAAGGACTATACCTGCTGACTGATGGGAAGCCGGATACGAGCTGCAGCCTTGTTCTTGATGCTGTCCACAGACTCCAGGAGGAAAGGGATGTGAAGGTGCACACTGTCTCCCTGAGCTGCACAGACAGGTAGGCAGTGAGGAGTCAGACTGAGCTTGCATCTTCCCCCAGCGCACTCCCTGGATCTGAGCTTCTTACCTTCTTTTGACACCGGCCTCTCCTAGGGCTTGTCCTATGAGTCAAGAAACAGGACATGGGGGCTGGGGATTTAGCTCAGTGGCTCAAGTGCTTGCCTGGCAAACACAAGCTCATGAGTTCAATCCCTGGTACAAAAAAAGAGAAAGAATCAGGAAATGCATTGTTTTCAGAGGGTCTGGTAGATGTTACACCACAGAGCAAAAGCCCCTCTTTTTACTCCAAACTGATCCATCAACAGCCCACTCTTTAGGGAATGCAGCTGATTCACAGTCATGTCATCTCCTTCCCAACCTTTCTTAGGAATGTATTTGTGAATATTTAGGGAGGAAGTGTGAATGTTCACATTTTGAGTGTCTAGAGAGGAAAACATAATGAATTAACATAGTACCATTATTTTTAACAACAATCACTATAGAAGAATGTGTTTTAGATATGACTCAGATCCTTCAGCACACACACAAAAAAAAAAAAAAAAAAAGAAAGAAAGAAAAAAGAAAACTTCGTGGTCTAAGGATATAGCTTAATGGTAAAGTATGCATAAGGCTTTAGGTTTGATCCCTAGCACCCAAACAAAGAAAACAAAAACAAAACAAAACCCTTTATTATTAGCAAAACTATTACTTAGGTGCACAATTTCTCTATTTGTCTAAGTTGCAAGCTTAGGCCTAATCCACATAGACACTGGAGAGATGTCCAATAAAGGAGCCAGACTGTTCTGGCCACGTGTTTTGAGGAATCCAGGCCAAATGGGAACCGTAACACAGTGAATCTCCGTAAACTGGCCAGGAAGTGTACTTGGTGTTGCTAACAATGGTGTCAGTGGTGCAGGCAAGGGCCACTGCCCGGGTGCTTTCCTTTAGCCCCGTAGGCTTAAGTTCCCCATGGGTCTGGGGGCTCAGCTAGTCTCCCTGACTCTCTGTGAGCCTCTATTCCTTCCCTAGAGCCGCAGTTGAGTTCCTGAAGAAGCTGGCTTCCCTCACCGGTGGCCGTTACCACTGCCCAGTCAGTGGGGACACACTCTGCAGGATGCACAGCCTGCTCACCAGGGGCTGCATCGATGAAAGGGTAGGTCATGAGGTGCTGAGCTCAGTGGCTGGAGAACAAAGAGTTTGGCCCCAAGAAATGTTCACAGGTGTGGATTTCCTTCTGAGATCAGTTTCTCTTGTAAGACAAATGTTACTAAAAGGGGTTGTGCTACCCTGAGGCTCTCTTAAATGCTGAGTCCTCTCTATGTGGGGAAAGAAGGAGGTTTTGGGGGTATGATTAGTAATAGTTTATATTTGTTGAGCACTTGCTATGTACAAGTACTTTGCTTGATAACCTGAGTTTTAATCCTCCTGGGCACTATTGTATTCACTTAGATTTGCAGTTAGGCTCACAAAGACTGTGAAACATGCCTCAAATCAGAGGAAAGGGTGAAGCTGATGCCTAAGACCCCATGTTCATAACCTCTGCACTTTCATCTTTGTGGATCTGCCCTCTGGTGTTCAATTAATTGAAACACAGATATTCAGATCATCTGTTAACAGATCCAGTGATGTTTCAGGCTGTCTACTAATAAATCTTGTGAAGTCATAGGTTACAATGATGCTCTTCTAACTTGATAGAAAAAAATAATGCATATATTTAAACTTTTTAAAGCATGGTATGTTGTCACTCATAACATTTCTTCAGCAACAAGTGATCAAGTAACCAATCAGAAGCCTAGATTTCTTTTCAGGGGACACAGCAAAATTTTTGAAGTCTATGTAGCCTCATACGAGTCCTTTGTTCAAGGAGCTTCTAGGGACAAATATTACTAAGGGCAGAGCAAGTTGATAAAAGTAACAAAAATTCACCCAAGTATCCTTCTGACATGGGAAGATAATCGACAGTGTTATGCAGCGTCTCAGTTTAAGACCTTGTCAAATCAGCTTCTGTGAATGTTTTTATTTTGTTTTTTTGTCTGCCGAATAGGAATACTACTTACAGGGAGATGGGACAGCTTCACCTCTTTCTTAGAATTTAATTGTGAGAATTTATGTGTTTATAGCTAGACTCATAGCCAGGCATGGGGCACATGCCTGTAATTCCAGCACTCCTGAGGCTGGGCAGGAGGATCATTATAAATTCAAGGCTAGCCTGGGCTACATACTTGGTTCATATTGAACTACATAACGAGACCTTGTCTCAGAAGAAGGAAAGAACGAAGGAAGGAAAAAGGGAGGAAGGAAGGAAGACTAGAGAGAGAGAGAGAGAGAGAGAGAGAGAGAGAGAGAGGAAAAAGCAAAGCAAGCTACACTCTACTGGGCATGGTGGCACCTCTAATCCCAACTATGAGGGGCTGGGTAGGAACTCAGCCTGGGAAATTCATCTACTTAGCCAGAATCTGACTCAAATTTAAAATAATAACAACTTTTTTAAAGAGTTGTAGCTATAGCTCAATGTGAAGGTCCAGAGTTCAAACCCTAGAGCCACAATATATTAAAAAATGAGACTGGGGTCTGGAATTTCAGTAGTTGGCATTTTTTAAAAGCATACCTATGATCCTCTACTAGGAGAAATCAAGGGCTAAAACATTTTTACTGACGGAATAGCAGTAAGATAAAGAGTCTATGCCATTTCTGTTGGCCTGGAAAGGGAGCAGCTTCACTGAAGTTCAGAGACCAACTTGGTTTGCCCCTGCCCACTTCTCACATTGACTGCCGGGTATCGTATTGCAAAGTGTGCTGTATGCAAAGTGACTGCCTAGACTGATGGTAAGCTCCCTACTTCTAGAGACATGAGGCCCACAGGATTTCCTACCTTCAGTGGGAGGCTGCCTTTAATGTACTGTGATTGGGAATTTTCAGATCTCATCTGGTCATGTAACAGATTGAACTTCACACTCATTTACCCTTTCCAAGGATCCCCCACTGCCACTGTTTGAAGGCGATGACTTGAGGAGACTAGCCCAGGAGATCACCAAAACCCGGAGATTCCTTGCACAAGCCCAGGTATTCAGGTATGTTCTTCAGGTGGCCCTCCCACCTACCTGTGCTCCAGCCCAGCTGGACCCTGGGCCCCATCAAGAGAAGCCCATCCTGGTCAGGGCACCCTTGCTTCAAGACCTTCTGTCCTGCTTCTCCCCACTCTCCAGGCCTAGAAATCTGGGCATCAAGGGAACTGTATTCCTTCCTTTTCTGCAGATCCCAGCTCCAGAAGAAAAGTAATGACGCACCGCAAGTTACTCTTTGTTAGAGTAGTATTCTCAGGTAAGGCAAAAGACAGACTCCCCACCTGTAGAGTGCCTGCTAAGGGCCAGGTGGCATGTTCTGTTTTGTAGACAGTTGTAACTATGGGGAGGGCAAGAAATTATGACTCTTCTATACAGAAAAGTCTATCCCCAAAAGAAACATTCACTGAGTTCATCTTGGCTCTGGTGCAGGAGGACACAGAAAGATATAACTTACAGATTATCCACAGGAGAGACCAGTCCAGACACCAGGGCATGCTGAAAGTCTGGAAAGAAAGAGTCTGTTCTGTGAGTACAGAGCCATCTGTGGGTCTTTGAGCCACCCTTCCTGTCCTTCTCTGTTCTCCAACATTCCAGTAATAAGATTGATGTTCACTGGAATGTTCTTGTCACCTTCTGCCTGGGGACTCTCAGCTCAATGACATCAGCTCCACTGTGAAGATGCTCCTGGGACAGAGCTAAGATCTCCAGGCAGAGTTGAAAGCTTCCAGCCTTCCTCTTGTAGCAGCCTGACTAATACTTTTTGTTGTACTTGGCACTTGCTTGACTATCTAACTCTCCTCCTTCAGTGGCTCCCCCAGAACGAGGCCACAGTCCTAACCATCTGGAGATTTCCAGCACCTGCCATATGGCAGACATGTGATAAGCTGAACATCCTGCAGAATGTGGGAGTTCCACTAAGGAAACCAATCAGCTGAGGCTGTTTTTCCTTGGGGCCTCCCTATTTTCCTTACCATCTATGGGCCAATCCAGATTCCCCAAGTCTGCCTGACTTGAGCAAAAAAGCTAGCGATGTCCACCACCCCACCCACTCCTGCTCCACCAAACTGAATTGAAGGCTGCTTCACAACCCAGTCCAAAGTGAACATTCTGCTCAACTCTGAAAATCAGGCTGGATCTGGCTCCACTGTGGACACATGAAATGAATGTGGTTATGCTATATCATCTGTGGTCATTTTCTAACATGAAATGGACGTGGTGCATGTTATATCATATGTGATCATTTTCTAAAATTGGAAAAGTGCTTTTATTTCCATGATTAAAGTCAAAGTTACTTGGTTGCCTTATTTTGGTTTTTGGTGGTTGTCATTATTTGTTCTTCAGCAGTATAAAGGATTAAACCCAAGGTCTCACACATACTAGGCAAGTGCTTTACCTCAGAACTACATCCCCAGCCTAATTTTAACTGTTTAAAGTGATCATTGGTATATGTGTGGATAAATATTTAGTGAGGCTACACTTCCCTGAGTCATCAGAATATAAAAATAATATAAAATCAAATAGAAAAACATAATTATCTTCATTTTTAAAAATAGGCCAAAAGCTCAAGCACAAATAAATAATAGGTTCATGAAAAAGTACTCAACAGGCTTACCTAGTCACAGAAATGCACATTAAAACCACGATAAGATACCACTATACACACACTAGAATGGGTAACTATAAAAAGACTGACAATGTCAAGATATAGAGCAACTGGAGTGCTTAAATATTGCTAGACTAGGAGTGGAACTCAGGTAGTATAAATTGGCTCAACCATTTTGGGGAACTATCTGCCAATTTCTACTACAGTAAAACACATGTCTATCTATGTCCATGCAGTTCTACTCTAAAATAAATGCAGGATCACCTATAAAAGAAAGTCTATCTGAATCACAGCAGACTTCTCAACACAAACAATGAAATCAAGAAGAGCATGGAGTGAAGTATTTCAGATCCTAAAGGAAAACACCTTCCAACCCAGATTGATATATCCTGCAAAACTGTCCTTCAAAATTGATGGAGAAATAAGATACTTGCATGACAAAGAACAGCTGAAGAATTTCATGATCACCGAAACAACCCAGCAAAGAATATTGAAGGACATTTTAGATACACATAGGAAAAAGCCACTAAGCAAGGCAAACAATTAAACAGAGGAGAAAGGTAAAAATTCAACAGCAGAAAGATAACATGTCAAAAATAAACTAATATCAGTTATAACCATTAATGTAAATGGTATCAATTCACCAATTAAAAGAAACAGACTGGCAGATTGGATCAAGAAACAACATCCAACCATTATGTTGTATGCAAGAAATGCATCTAACCCAAAAGGAAACTCATAGACTGAAAGTCAAAAGATGGAAAACAATACTTCATGCAACAGAAACCAAAAAAAAAAAAAAGCAGGGATAGCTATTTTGTTTACAGACAATGTGAACTTCAAACCAAGAATGAGCAAAAGAGATAAAGAGAGTCACTACATACAACTTAGGGGAAAACTTCAAGTGGAAGAGATAAAAATTTTAAATATATATGCATCAAATTCGGGAGCACCTAGCTATACAAGCAAAATGATTCTTTGCTTTCTGGAAAGATGTCAAGAAAAGATTCTAACGTAAAGCAACTCCAGCCTGGTGGCTGAGCTGAGAGTTAAAAGGACTCCCCCTAGAAGCAGCTTTGGGTGGTGTGGTCTGTTCAGGTTTATTGTCACCACATATCATGGCCTGGCAGGCTCATCAACAGTGGAAATCTATTGCTTACAGTTTTCAAGGCCGGAAGCTCAAGGACAGGGTTGCACTCCTTCAGGGGTCTGTAGCTGGGTGGCAGGCTCCTAACTTCTTATTCTCTGTGTCCTCCCATGGCGGAAGTGGTGAGGGGTCTCCTTCTGGCCCCCTCTACCTTGGCACTACCCTCATTTGTGAAGGGGTGACCCTTCTGACCCAGTCGCTGCCCAAAGACCCCACAAATATTAAAAGAAATGAAAAATCAAATAAGCAATAACACAATTACAATGGGAGACCTTAACACCTCATTGACACAAAGAGACAGATTAACTAGACAGAAAATCAGCAAAGAAATAACTGAATCACACCTGTGAACAAATGGACTTAGTGAATGTGTACAGAGTGTTCCACCCAACAACATCAGAATATACATTCTTCTCAGCAGCACATGGTACATTCTCTAAAATAGACTACATACTAGCCCAAAGAATATGCTTAAGTAAGTGCAAAAGAAATGAAATTATTCCATATATGTTATCAGATCATAGTGCCATGAAACTAGAAATTGTAGGGTTTTTTTTTTGTTTTGTTTTTGGTTTTTTGGTACTGGGGATTGAACTCATGACCTTGTACTTGCCAGGCAGGCACTTAGAGTACTGAGCTAAACCCCTGGCCCAATGGAACTAGAAATTAATGACAAAAGAAAGTTCAAAAACCCCACAAACACATGGAAATTGAATAATACACTCCTGAGCAATCAGTGGGTCACAGAGGAAATTAAAGAAGAAATTAATATCTACAAGCAAATGAAAATACAAATACAAATTACTGGAACATGTGGGATGCAGTGAAAGCAGTCCTCAGAGGAAAATTCATTGTGGTGAATTCCCACATCAGGAAAACAGAATGAGCACAAATAAACAACCTGAAGCTACACCTCAAACATATAGAAAAAAAAGAGCAAGTCAAACCCAAAGCCAAAAGAAGAGAGGAAATCATAAAGATCAGAGCAGAAATCAATGCAATAGAGACTAAGAAAACAATACAAAGAATCAATGAATCAAGAGTCAGTTCTTTGAAAGAATAAATAAAATTGGCAAGCCCCTAGCCAACCTTAGTTTTAAAATGAAAGAAAAAACTCAAATTCATGCAATAAGGAATGAAACGGTGACATCACTACAGACCCTGTGGAAATACAGAAGATCATCAATACCTACTTTGAAAACCTCTACTCTCATAGGTTTGATAACACAGAAGAAATGGACACATTCCTAGAAACATATGAATTACCAAAGCTCGGTCAAGAAGATGTAAAATTGCTGCATAATCCAATTTCAATTCATGAAATATTTTCAATTTAATTATATTTTCAATAATTAAAACCTCACCAACAAAGAACAGCTGAGGGCCAAATGGATTCACTGCAGAATTCTACAAGAAATTCAAGGGAGACTTAATGCCGACACTCCTCACATCTTCAATGAAATCGAAAGGGAAGCAATTCTCCCTAACTCATTCCTGGAAGCAAGTATTACTCTAATATGAAAACCAGAGAAAGACCCAACCAAAGAAGAACTACAGGCCACTCTCCCTAATGAAAATAGATGCAAAAATTCTCAATAAAATACTGGTAAACAGAGTACAGCAAATCATCAAGAAGATTATACACCATGACCACGTGTGATTCATCCCAGGAACACAGGGATGGTTCAACATATGCAAATCAATAAATGTAATCTACCACATCAATAGGGCCAAAAATAAGAATCTTATGATCATTTTGTAGATGCAGAAGAAGCTTTTGATAAGGTCCAACACATTCATGACAAGAACCTTACAGAAAATTGGAATAGATGGTCCTTACCTCAATATGATAAAAGCCATCTGTGACAAACCAACAGCCAGCATCATATTAAACATCCAAAAATGGAAAGTCTTTACTCTAAAATCAGGAACGAAACTAGGTTGTCCATTGTCACTGCTCCTATTCAATGTAGTGCTGGAAATACTAGGCATAGCAATTAGACAAGAGAGAGAAACAAAGTAAGGATAGGAAAAGAAGAAGTTAAATTATTATTTGCAAATGACATGATACTCTACATAGAAGATCCCCAAAACTCCATTGAAAGACTCCTAGGTATAATAACCAAATTCAGTAATGTAGCTGGATACAAAGTCAACACTCAAAAATCAATAGCATTCCTATACACTAACAACAAACTCACTGAGAAAGAAATAAGAGAAGCCACACCCTTTGCAACAGCACCAAAAAAATGAAATACTTAGGAATCAATCTAACAAAAGAAGTAAAAGATCTATTCAGGGAAAATTATAATACCCTTAAAAAGAAATTGAGGAGGATCTCAGAAAATGGAAACACATTCCTTGTTCATGGATAGGAGGAATAAATATTGTGAAAATGGCCATTCTCCAAAAATTGTTATTCAGATTTAATGCAATCCCAATCAAAATACCACTGGCATACCTCATAGATCTAGAGAAATCATTCCTAAAATTCATCTGGAACCAGAGAAGACCTAGAATAGCAAAGGCAATTCTGAGCAACAAAGGCAAGGCAAGAGGCATCACAATCCCTGACTTGAAGTTATACTACAAAGCTACTGTTATAAAATCAGCATGATATTGGAATAAAAACAGACCTAAAGATCAATGGAATAGATTAGAAGATACAACCACAACTACAAACACACTGAACCACCTTATGTTTGATAAAGGGGCCAAATATGTTCACTGGAAGAATGATAGTCTCTTTAATAAGTGTTGCTGGAAAAACTGGCTCTCCATATGCCAAAAACTAAAACTAGACCCATGCTTATCACCATGCACTAAATTAAAGTCAAAATGGATCAAACATCTAAATATTAAAACAGAAACACTAACTCTGCTGGAAGACAAAGTAGGTAAAAATCTTGAAGACAGCTAGGTAGGGAATTCATGAACAAAAATCAAACCACATGGGAAATATTTCGCAGAATCAATAACTGGGATCTTGGGCTGGGGATTTAGCTCAATGGCATAAGCACCTGCCTTGCAAACAGGCGGTCATGAGTTCGATCCCTGGTACCGACAAAAAAAAAAAAAAAAAAAAAACTGGGATCTCATCTTATAAAAAATTTTTTGCATGTCGAAAGAAATCTCCAACAGGTTAAAAAGGAAATCCATGAATTTTGAAAAAATCTTAGTCAACTGTCCCTCAGACAAAGGACTTCCATCTAGAATATATAGAGAACTTTTAAAAAATCAGACCCCTGATTTTCAAAGACCCAATCTAAAAATGGGCATCTGAGATGAGCACACAGTTCTCAGATAAAGAAATACAGATGGCAAATAAATACATGAAAAAATGTTCATCAGCATTAGTCATTAGAGAAATGCAAATTAAAACCACACCGAGATTCCATCTCACTCCAGAAAGAATGGCTAGGATAAACAACAAATGCTGGAGAGGCTGTGGGGAAAAGGAACTCTCCTGTACTGTTGGTGGGAGTGTAGACTGGTGCAATCAATGTGGAGATCAGTGTGGAGGTTCCTCAAAAAGCTGGGATTGGACGTCCCATTTGACCCAGCTATTCCACTCCTGGGCATATTCCCAGAAGAACTGAAAATATCATACCACAGTGATATATGTGCACCCATGTTTATAGCAGCACAATTTTTAATAGCCAGATCTTGGAAACAACCTAGAGTCCATCAACTGAGGAAAGGATTAAAAAAGATATGGTACTTTTATAGAACTCAGCTATAAAGAATGATTGCATTAAGATATTTATAAGTAAATGGATGCAACTTGAGACCATACTCATAAGTGAAATAAATCAAACTCACATATGTAAATATCATATTGTCTCCCTGTATAATAAATGGTAAGAGTACATAAGATACAAAATCCTCAATAAATACAGTGAAAGGGTAAGAATCTGCTCAAAGGGGAAAAATAAATCTCAGGGGAAAGGAGGAAAAAGAAAAAGGAAGGGAAAAATATCTAAATTTGTATAAACACACTTATGATAGCTAAGATGATTTGCTACAAATTCTATTATTTGTAGATATTATTCTATATTTGCTACAAATTAACATTCATAGGATTGGAACTATTTTGCATGATTGTGTCTGGTGATCTGAGAAACTATTTTGAATATCAGTATGTAAAATAACAATCTTAGTTATGATCCTACCACCTTGTTTTGAAGGCCTATATCTTCATTGTTTTGGGGTCTTTGCTGTTGTTATTTATTTGTCCTTCTTGTTTCTTGTTTTTCTAGTAATCTGTTTCGTTTTGTTTTTCCCTCTAATGCAGAAAGGATAGGTATACCTGTACAGGCGCATACATGCCTAGAACTTCTCCTAAACTGTTTACAAGAATTGATTTTATTATCTGTGATGAAATGAACAGCTACTTTGAGGGAAAAGAAACATTAAAAAAAAAGAAAAACATTATGGTATCCATTGCTGATTCCGTATCATTGTGCTGTGAAATCCAGTAATGCTTTTATTCTTTGTTCAGAGTGGCTTTAGTCTGTTTTGTATTATTTAATTTCAACATACATGAAGGTATGGACAGCTATTTTGAAAAAATAGCAATTATGGCAGCGATTGTTGATTTTCCTATTGTCTGGTTTTGAAGGCCTGTAATGCCCTCATCACTCTGTTTTGATCAGTTTAATACTATTTTGTTTTGTATTAATTCATTGTATGTGAAGATATAAACAACTATTTAGAAGAAAATAAGAAACATTGTGGTAGCCACTGTTGATCTCCTGTTGTCTTGCTTTGAAATCTGTGTCACTTACATTGTTTTCTTCTGATCTGCTTTGTTCTGTTTTGTTTTACTCTCTTTAAAGTAAAAAAAAGATTTAAAAATAAAGTTACCCTGGATATTTCATTAGAGTAACAAAAATGTACTAATAACATATGTACATGAAAATTTATCAAGTTATTTAAAAACAGTTTACTAAGGCTCAACAAGTTTGATTTGGCCAGACTCTGTGCTGTGCCCAATGAGACTGCAGTGACCACAGCCTTTGCCACAGTGAATCTTCCTTGGGTCATCTTTTCTATGGTGGTCATGTTGGTGCTGTCCATAACAAGTATCACTGAAATAGTAGAACTGCATTGAAATAATAGAAATGCATTGTCTCCAAGTTCTGGAAGTTGAAGTTTAAGATCAAGGAACCAGCAAATCCATGCTTCTCCTGAAGGCACTAGGAAGGATCTGTCCAGGGTCCTTGTTTCTAGCAGTTCATGTGCTTACGGCAGTATAGACTCTAATCTTTGCATGATGCTTTCCCCATGTGCATGTCTGTGCCTCAATTTCCCATCTTTACTAAGATACCAATCATGGGGGAAGAAGAACCCACCCTACTCCACTACAGTTTAATCTTAACAGTTACATCTGATATGACTCCATTTCTAAATAAGATTACATTCTGAGATTCTTGTGTTGGGACTTCAGCATATGAATTTTGTGGGGGACACAATTCAACCTACACCAGTTGTACTGCAAGACAACAGCAACAGCTGGCACTAGGAAATACGAGTTCTCTAGTTGGTGTTGTGGGACAGGAAAAGGCTGGTCTTTGTGAATGGAAGGAAGGACTGAATATTCAGGCTTCAGGAGTAGTGAAGTAGAGTTCAAATCCCAGTGTCTCCTGTGATGATAATCCTTGCCATTTGTTGAGCACCTACAGGACAGGCTCTATGTTCTGCATTTTGCATGTAAACCACACACTTACAATTTGGTGCTGTAAAGTAGACACGATTTCCAGCTTATGAATGAAATTGGAAACTGTGCCCAAAGACACAGCAAGAAAGTGGAAAAACCAAGAGAAAACCAGACATGGCCCTGTACCCTCTACACACCGAGTTCCTTTCATGGAACCTATTTCCCTGTCTCTAAAATGGGGCTAGAACAGAGTCATGAGGATTGAATTAGATACCATCTGGCACACAGAATAAGCAAGCAAAAATCTTTTTCTCTTCCCCACCCCTGTGCCCACAGAGTACGTTCTCTTGACTGGCCATATCGTCCACCCCCTCATGCCAAAGTGACTGGGCCCCCTGTTCCCATGCTCTGTGCTCTGCTGCAGCGGCTGTTCTGGTGGGCACATGCCTGCCCCTCTACTACTGCCACTCAAATATTCATCTTCCAGGGACGGTGGGACCATCCGGGCCCCCATCTCCGGGGAAAGGCCCGCACTAAAGAACCACATTGGTGAATGGATGGACACGGAGATGGGCAGAAGAACGCAGAGAGGAAGAGCAGACGGTGGGGAGAAAGGAAGAAAAAGTATGGAATAAACGGGGTGAATGAAAGTCGGGTTGGGCAGGTGGAGGGGTGGGGAGGAGAGAAGGGGAATGGATAGGTGGAACCACAGACTGAAGAAAAGATGGACCGATGAATGGGTGAAAGCTTGAACTGACAGATGCAAAGAGGTCCCTGTGGGAGAATGATGGCGGAAAGGCGGAGGAAGAGACGCCGTTTCCCTGGGCTCCGAGAGACGCCGCGAGCTGGACAGCGCCTGACCCGCAGCGCCTTCGCGTTTTCCCCACCAGGAGCGCCTGCCGTCCCGCCTCCCGGGGGCTACCGGCGGGGCGGCGGGGGCGGGCCGAGCACGTGGGCGGGCCGGACAGCAGCCCCGCCTCTCCTGGAGCCGGGGTGGCCGAGGCCCAGCCTGCGCCCGGCTTGGCGCCGAGACCCGCGCGGCGCGAGGAGCAGGCAGCTTCGCGGGAGCCCGGGCCAGGTGGGCAGAGCCAGCAGGTGGGCGCAGCCAGCAGGTGGGCGCAGCCAGCAGGTGGGCGCAGCCAGCAGGTGGGCGCAGCCAGGTGCGGGGCCGGGGGCGCGGGGCCGGCCAAGGACGGAGGGCTACGGAGCACGGGTACTACTCACCCGGCCCGCGCGAGCTGGCCCTGCTGCCTTCCGCGGGGGGTCTCGGCTCCTTCCTGCCACCCCGAGGCCAAAGCGCCGGGTGTCGAGCCCTAAACCATCCTGCCTCTCACCAAACCCAGCTTTGGGGCTCCTGAGGACCTGGATTCGGGCTGAGCCATTGATGGTAACATCCATCGTGGTCCGCTAATGCTTTCTGTGCCTCGGTTTCCACCTCTGGATGATGGGTACTGCCCCGGGGACTGCCAGGCTTAGCAGGGACTCCGGGCTCAGCCCTGTATTCCTGACACGGAACAAATCCTAGTGATTTTGTTCTTTCAGCAGCTACCGCGACCCAGGCACTGTCCTAGGTGCTGAGGACACCACTGGCCAACAAAACCCTCGTGCAGCTGGTGTTCTAGTTTGTAACACTCCCTGGCATCTCTTAGACTACCCTGTGAGGTGGACAGAGCAGCCGGGGTAGTTTAGGCCCATATTGCAGCTGTGCAGTGAGAGTCTCAAGGTCCTTGCCCCCTCCTATGTTGGTGCTCACCTGTAAACCAGTGTTTTGGAAGCAGAGAAAGGAAGATTGTGGGTTCAAAGCTGACTTGGACACTTTAGTGCCTTAGCAAAACTCTGTCTCAACCTTGTGATCTTCTTGCTTCAGCCTCCCAGAGTACAGTGATAACAGGTGTGCCCCTGCGCACCTGGCTTACTGTGGGGGTTCTGGAGGCTCCAAAAGGATCAAGTCCACTGGGAGCTTAGAGGTCCTCTAAGTGGACCTTCAGAGGCCCTAAGTCCTCCTAAGTGGTCCTCTAAATTCCCTTCAGTCCTAGGAGTTTGATAATCTCTGTGACTTGAGACAACTTGTAAATATCCTTTCTTCTTTTTCTTCTCACAGGTGGACAGTTTCTGGTCTGCATGGCTCTGTAGAGGATGAAGCCCAACCCCACAGGCTCCTCACCAGAGATCTGCAAAGCTGCAGGCCAGGGCGGGAAGAGCTGCCCTGTCTGCCAAGCTTGGGGAGGGGTCTTAGGTCCAGGCTCTGGCCTAAGGTCAGGGCCAGGGCCAGGGCCAGGGCCCAGTGATGTTTTGGGGTCTGGACCAGAAGCTGGTGCTGTCTCAGGGCCTGGTGCTACTCTACCACCTGGACCAGGCGTCAGATCAGTATCCAGTCTAGGAGCCACTCCATTATCTGGACCAGCAGCAGGGACAATAGCTGATCCAGGAGGTGCCCCCTTACATGGGCCAGGGGCCGGGTCAGTACCTGGGCCAGGAGTAGGGCCTGGGACCAGAAGGGGCTCGGGATCTGGTCCTCAGCTCAGTGAATCATCAACGTCAGCACCATCACTGCAGCAGAAGACACAAGCCAAAACTACACAGGTCCCCAGACAGAAGGTTCTGGTGACAGGAGGAGGAGGCTATCTGGGCTTTAGTCTGGGTTCCAGCCTGGCCAAGAGCGGCACTTCTGTCATCCTGCTTGACCTCCGAAGACCCCAGTGGGAACTGTCCCCAGGGACTGAATTCATCCAGGTGCAGAGGCTGGCGGTGATGGGCAGGGGACAGTGTCTTGTAAGAAACCAGTGGTGGAGTCCACAGTCACGGGGTATGGAGCCAGACTTCTGTACCTCCGGCCTGGGGGCTGGCATGGTCACAGGCGCTACATCCCTAAGCCTTGGGATCCTCACCCACAGAAAGGGAATCATGGTAATATCTGCTTTCCAAGGCTCTCGTGGAAAGTTGATGAAATAGTATACATGAATCACCCAGCGCTACCTTGGGACCTGGAGAGCTTGATGAGTGGGTTCCAAAGACAGTTGCACCCACTGGTCTTTTTGACCTTACACCTGCTTGGGTTGGGCAAGGTGCAGAGTTACTATCACAGTTCACTTTGAACCTGACTCTCCTATCCCCGTCTCTACATTCTCTGTTTCAGGCTGATGTCCGGGATGAAGAAGCTCTGTACCGAGCCTTGGAAGGGGTGGACTGTGTCTTCCATGTGGCCTCCTATGGGATGTCTGGTGCTGAGAAGGTGAGGCTTTCACATTCACACTTGTAGTTAGGGAGCACCGGGTTCACGTCATGGCTCTGTCCATCGTGCCCAGGAATTCCTTGTTGCTCTTCTCCTCCAGGGAGGATTTGGACTACTGTTAGCCTGAAGTCTGCAACTGTGGCACCAAATATCAGTTCCACCACTTTCTACCTGTTACAATCTAGGGCAAGTTAACTGCACTGAGCCTCTCATTCCTATCTGAAAAGTGAGAACAGTATTACTACTTACATCCCAGACATTTCGCAGAACAGTATGACCGTATCACATCAAAACACAGAAACCTTTGACTCAGAAATTATGGTGATTAGCTGGATGTAGCTGTGCAGAACTTTAATCCCTGCACTTTGGGAGGCTGAGGCAGGGGGCATCAGAAGTTGGAGCCTGGCTTGGGTAATTTAACTTGTCTCAAAATTTAGAAAATGGAAAAATGGGTTAGAGATAGAGCTTAGTCCAAAGTCCTGGGTTCAGTCTTCAGTAATTGCTTTAAAGAAGAAGAAAGCCAGGTGTAGTGGTGCATGCTTGTAATTGCAGCACGTGGGAGGCTGAGGCAAGAGGATCACTGTGAGTTTCAGACCAACCTGAGCTACAAAGTGAGTTTAAGGCCAGCCAGAACTGCATAGGGAGACCCTGTCTCAAAAAGATCGAGGAAGAAAGAAAGAAAGAAACAAAGAAAAAAACAAACAAACAAAGAAATTCTACTGATTTGTATACTTATGGCATCATTTTTGAATGACAAATCACCAAAAGTAACTTAAGTATCCATCACATAGGGACTGTTTGAATAAATTGAGTGAATCAACACATGTTGATAACAACAATCTCCAAGGTACCAAACCGTGTTTGGTGTGCAGAACTTTTTTTTGTTTTTATTTGAAGAAAAAGGGCATAATTTCTTACATACTGTACTATATAGGCCTATGTGCTGGTTTGTGTTTCTTTCTTTTTTCTTTTTAGTGCTGGAGATGGAACTCAGGGCCCTGTACAAGCTAAGCATGCACTTTACCACTGAACTATACCTGCAGCCCTGTGCTGATAGTAAAAAGAAAACATTATCTCTAAAAACATACTGTTGACAGTAGTTGTCTCTGTGGAGGGAAAAGGAAGATGGAAGTAGGAGTGGGATGGAAATTTCCTCTTCACACATAACTCTCATTGTTTCAACTGGTTTTTTTCTCTTTTTTAAAAAAATTTTTTTTAATCGGTACCGGGGATCAAACTCACAACCATGTGCTTGCAAGGCAGGCACTTATGCCACTGAGCTAAATCCCCAGCCATTGATTCAATTGTTTTTAACCTATATATAGCCATATTACGTACTAAATAAAAAAAACACTACAATGAGAACAAATATAGTTTAAAAAATAAACATAAAATCCAGGCATGCACATGCCTGTAACCCTAGCATGTTGGGAAGCTGAGCAGGAAGATTTCAAGTTTGAACCAGACCAAGCAACTTAATGACTTAGCAAGACCCTGTCTCAAAATAGAAAATTTTAAAAAGGCTGGGGACATAGCCCCCACATAGCTGGGGACGTGAACGCCCTGAGTTCAGTCCCCAGCATTAAATAAATAAATAAACAGCCACCTCTTAGTGATGTTGCAGGGTTGAATGAGGTCAGGATCATAATGCTCTTACACGTGCTTAGCACACAGCTGCTATCATGCAGACTGGTCATTCTGGATTTTTACACCCCAGTCCCCTCACCAGAGTGTTCCACAATTTTACTGCGTCCATCTTGCAAGATGAAGAAAACTGAAACTTTGAGAACAGGAGAATGGGTCAACAAGTTTTGGGTCCCACTTCTGTACAGAGCCCTGTTCTAAGTCCCCAGGCATCTTCTGTAATCCTGCTGACCATCCGAGGTCAGGCCTCACTTTACCGACAAGGCATCTGAGGGCAGAGCTGGGAACCCTCACCACCAGTGGGCTTCTTGGGATCCCTACCGCTGAGCTGGACATCTTGCCAGTCCCCTGCCCTGCTCAACCCTGTGTCCAGCCTCTGTCCTCAGCAACAAGGCAGGAGACAGCATCAAGACTTCCCACCTCCATCTTGTCTTTTAGCTGCAAAAAGAACAGATTGAGTCTATAAATGTCGGAGGCACCAAACGAGTGATCGATGGTAGGTGCCCAGTGTGACCTGTGACTGGCTGTGTGTGTCCTCCTTCTCTCCCTCCTGCCACAGGCCAGCTCCTGCGAGGAGGTGGGGCACAGAGGTGGGACCCTCCTGCCCTGGCCATGCCTGCCCCAGCTGAGGACCTGTGGGCAGTGTGTCCCTCCTGAGTGTGGAGCTGCCCAGGTCCTGCACTGACTTGTCAGGGTGGCCTCAGTGTGACTGGGGAGGCAGGGAGTGAAGTGGGCATTCAGGGCGTAGAGGCACAGAACGCTAGCATCTGATGCATCCAAATGAAGGCCTCTCTGGCCTCTCTGTGCCCTGGCTTGTCCTGTGCTGCTTTTCTCTTTGATTCTAGATTGCCTGTTTCCTCTGTCCCCACTGAGTGGGACTTTCTTCTGGCCTGTCCCTGGAGGGATAGCTCAGGAGCCAAAGCCACACTGGAGCTTGGTTCCCAGGGATCCATGGGACAGAGACTCATCCCACATCCCAAGTTAAGGGGTCATCTGCTCCCCTGCCTAGAAGCTCTAGATTCTGGGTGCATCCTGGAGGGCTGGGATGTGTGTTGGAGGCTGGAGAACTTTGCATCTCTTCAGCTGACTTTCAGCTCACACTCAGCCCTTTGTGAATGCATCTGTGCATGCAATGTGTGCGTGTTGCTGTGAGTTCCTGTCACTGCAGGCTGCATCCGTCGGCGGGTTCCGAGGCTCGTCTACACCAGCACTGTCAATGTGGCATTTGGCGGGAAGCCCATAGAGCAGGGTGATGAGGACTCCGTGCCATACTTCCCACTGGACAAGGTACCTGCTTCCACGAGAGGTGGGCATGGCCAGCAGGCCTTGGACCCACAGCCTAAAGGGTAGGCATGGGGAGTTCCAGCGTCTGTCTCACAGTTCAGGGTGAGTCCCAGCAGGAATGGACCACCAAAACTGGGTGGCACCAGCCTACTTCCATTTCATCTTGTCATGCCTGGAGGGGCTTTCAAATCAGACAGACTTGACTTGAACCTCTACCGGCCCCTTTTGACCTGGTGACCCTGGTGACCCTGGTGACCCCAAGTTACTTCATCTCTCTGAAGCTCTGTTTCATCATCTGGGCATGATAACACCTTGCCAGGCAGGTTGTGGAGAGCAGGGAATGAGGTACCGCGTGTGAAAACACCATGAGGACAGTAGGTCCAGCATCAGCCTCTCAGGACAGGCACTGGGGACTGCCCTAGTCATCTTTCTGTTGGATCCCAGTGCCCCTCTGCTGCTGTGCCTATGCAAGGAAATACCCTGTCCTTCCACCCAGAGGGAGAGAGGGACTGTGAGGCTCACGACTTAGCTGTATTGCAGCAGGAGTCCCTAGAATCCACACATACATGATCTGAGGGGAAGGTGTAGTCCCAGGCCAGGCTGGGATGGGCCAGTGTGGTCCACAGCACTGCTGACCCCTCGCTGGTGGTGCTGTTCTCCCTGTCTTCCATAGCACATGGACCACTACTCCCGAACCAAAGCCATCGCTGACCAGTTGACCCTGATGGCTAACGGGACACCTCTCCCAGGTAAGCAGCATGGGGCCCACCTCGCAGCAAACTGCCTGCCCCCCTCCAAATATATGGTGATTGTAGTTTTTAGCCAACAAGCTTCTGAGGCCCAACCTCCTTTTAAGGGACAGTTCTCTGGGCCCTTAGCCGTTCATCACTGGAAACACTGAACACCTGCTAAGTTTTTCACCGGCCAGGGATGCAGCCAGCAAGAACAGGCCCGTCTCTGCCCTGATGTTCCTCATGGTGCAGCCCCCTCTTCTTTCTCAGGAGGGTGGGTCCAGTTTTAGGGTCCTCCTTAAAGAAAAGAACAGAGCAATATCAATATGGACAAAGTGTAGTTCTTTGGAAGGGCTATACAAGCCAGGGAACTTTCCAGAAGTTTCCAGAAAAAAATGGCCTCAACTTCTTACTGCATTATCTTTTGCGATTATAGAGAAGTAATCCACATTTATTGAGTGCTTACTTCATGCCAGGCCCAATTCAGCATGCTAATTTATGCAAAAGACTTTCATTCTTCACAGCATCCCTATGAAATAAGCATCTCAGGTATCTTTGCCTTCTTAACTCAGACGCTAAATTTATCCAGAGAAATTCCTTGCTATCTAACTTACCACTATTGGCTTTCTGAAAGTCACTATCAGGCTTTGGGAGCCAAGTGGATGTGGAGAAGAAGAATGTGTAAAATTATAAGTCCTAGTCTACAGGAGAGAAAACTGAGAGTAATTAACTGACTTAACTCAGTGTGATAGCTATTAGGTGGCAGAGATGGGTTTTGAACCACAGGGGAGTCTAACACCAGAACCTAGGTCTCAACCACTGTACTGTGCTATAGGTATGGAAAAACAGGTTCCTGGGTATGGGCTCTTTCCCTGAAAATATCCCTTTCCTTCTCCCCCATCACCCTGGCTCAGTCAGGTCTTGACCCTTGGTCCCAGCGGGAGCATCCAGTTGTATTTTCCCAGGGTTCTGACCTTGTGAATTCCCTTCTCTATCAGGAGCCTCCTTTGCCAGGCCAGACCACAGCCTGTGTGCTAGACACCTAATCCTCTGGCTGAGAATTATTTATATGAGCATCCCCAGCTTTCCATGGTCAGGACAGTCATGGATACCCTGGGCCCAACCCCTCTGTGACGTGGCTGCCTAGTGCCCCACCAGCCTCTCTAGGTTGCAACCTGATCTCCCTCCACCGTGCTCCAGAGACCTAGAACTTGAACTTAGATGCAGGCTGTTTTCTGAATTGCTCACCCGATACCTGTCTTCCAGGAGTCCAGCACGGTCATTCGGGGTGATTTCTACTCCCTGTGACCCATGCTGGTCCTAGTATAGTCCCTCTCGCTAGGAACACCAAATAGAGCTCCTGAGGCCTGCTTGCAGAGTCCAGTTGTTTGTCTGTGTCTCTGAGTGTATCCTGTGGCAGCTTAAAACAATAGAAATGTCTTCACTTTGCACTTGGGAGCCAAAAGCCTGACTTTGAGATCTCCTGGGCTGCTTCCCTATGAAGGAGGGGCTGGGGTTCTTCCTTGTATCTTCCAGCTTTTGGCTTGTGCCTGCAGACCTGCTTTCTCTGCCTCCATCTTCACGTGATCTCTCTTCTCTGTCTCTTCTGCGAGTCCATTACAAGGACACTTGTCACTGGATTTAAGACCCAGCTGGATGATCTCATCTTGAGCTCCTTAATACAGCCAAGAAGAAGGGTTTTCCAATAAGGTCAATATTCACAGGGTCTGGAATATGGACATATTGGGAATACGAGGCACCATTTCATCCACTACTCTGGGCTTCATTGAAGAGTGAGGGTGTGGAGGGATGTAGTAGTCTGAGTGTTCTATTGTAACTTGGAGACACCGGCCCTGGCTTATTTCTTGGGAAATGGAACTCATATGAGAAGGATGTGGCATAGCTTCTGGAAAACAGATTTCCAGAAATAACGACCACCAGGGTTAGGGCAGCCCGAGGGACGTGGAGCAGATGACCAGTCTCCTTAGGTGAACCACTCCTAGGATTCTGGGTCCTGGTCTCAGTGATGCTTAGAGTCACTCCTGGGTGAAAGCATCCCATGGCCTCCATCTCAGTACCAACCCCCCAACCTTGTGCAGTAAGGGAGGAGTTCCCCAAAGGAAGGTGGGGGGCTAGCAGCAGTGGATGAGCTACACTGGGCTTTCCATGCCCAGTAAGGGCCAGAAAACGAGGATGGCCTTGTGCTCCCTCTCCCTGCTAGGCTGCTCCTCTCCCAGCCCCTGACTACTCACCTTGTGTCTTAGGAGGAGGAACTCTTCGAACCTGTGTCCTCCGGCCACCAGGGATTTACGGCCCTGAAGAGCAGAAACACCTACCCCGAGTTGCGGTATGGTAGTCCCAACCTTCTGGGACCTGAGGTAGAGGGAACCAGACCCACATGCACATCAATCAGCCCATGGGGGACTGCACTGGTCTGCAGGCAGAGTTTCCTGAGCCTAGGATCCTTGATTCTTGGAGCCATCACTCCAAGTCATGGACCCATCAGGCCTACCAAGACCTGAGTTCCCAGTGTGGGCCGCCAGGCCTAAAATGGTGAGGGGAAAGCAAGCTGTGACCCCAAGGAGACAAAATCTATCACCTCCATTTACATGTGGGCTCCCTGAGGGCTGGGGGCTCTTGTAATACAAAGGTCTCCAGAAAACCTTTTCTAAAAAAAACCAAGATGCTGGGAATATAGTTACATGAGCCGTAGGCCCTGCCCTCACACTTCCCGCATCCTAGTCATGGAGACAAATGCGCAGCCTCAGCTCCAGGGTGGTGAGGCAGTACAGAGGGAGAGGAGAGGGAGGCCTAGCATGGGAGGGCAGAGGGCTTCCTGAAGGAAGTGGGTGCCTGTGACGTTTGGAGCAAGAATAAGGGGTTCATGGGGGAACTGGGGTGATAGACGGGATAGGCCAAGTAGGGGACACAGCTTGGGCACAAACTAAAAATAAAAAAGTTCTTAGTGTAGCAAACACCAGGAGGGCCCTGTGGCTGAACCTGATTGGGAAGCACAAGGTCATAGGCAGCCATGGCAAGTTATTGGGGAGGGATGCTCTGGTTTGCAGTTTAAGAATATTCTTCTGCTAGGGCTTCCTCTCTATTTTTTTTTTAATTTTTAAATTTGGCCAAGTTCTCAGATAAGGTCTTCCATTTATTCACATGACAGATACTTATTGAACTCTTAACTATGTGCTCAGGATGGTTCTGGGTTTTAGGACAGGTCAGTGAACCACCAGGGGATTCCTGCCTCGCTGGGCTTCTACTCTCCCTGGAAGAAATGGATAGTAGAGAATAGATATGTTGAGTTACAAGGTTCACTGGCAGATGGGGTGGTCTAGGAACGGTAGATAGCCGAGTGGCTGTGGCAGAGTGTACGCATGAGGGGTGTCAGTGGGAGATAAAGTCACAGAGTGACTGGGGCCTTCTGGGCCAGGGTCGGACATGGCAGGGTGGAATGTCCCAAGCTGAGCAGAGACCTGGACTCTGACTTAGGATTAAAGTGTCCCCTTGGCTGTGCAGAGTTTAGATGGCAGGGGTTGAGGGTGACGGGTAGGGAGCAGTTAGGGTGACCCTGCAGCACCCAGGTGAGAGATGAGGGTGGCAGTCCACACAGAGGAGCCAAGTGGGTTTTCAGATGGGTTGTGTGTGGCGTGTGAGCAAAGGTGGAAAAGTGGAAGTGTCAGACGGCCAAGTGGAGGTGGTGGGAGGCTTCAGATATACCAGGTGGAGGCAGAGGTCTGGCCCGGAGCCGTGAGCGTGCTGAGGGGGGTGCACAGCCATCCCTGCCTTCGATCTGCATTCATTGCCCCCCTTCCCTTCACCAGAGCCACATCAAGAAGCGGCTGTTCATGTTCCGATTTGGGGACCGAAGGACAAGGATGAACTGGGTCCATGTGCGCAATCTGGTGCAGGCACATGTGCTGGCGGCCGAGGCCCTCACTGCAGCCAAGGGCTACGTCGCTGTGAGTCTCCCATGACGCAGGCCAGCTGCCCCATCTCTAGGGGAGTGCTAGCTCCAACACCAAGTTTCTTTCTTCCTTTCAGGTGGCTGGCAGGATTGTCAGCCCAGGGACCCGGGGGTAAGGGTGGAGGCATCTTTGTAAAGCATCATTAGCTCTTTACAGTGACTTTGCAAGGTTCACGTGTTTATTCCAAGATAATAGCTACCAAATACTATATATCAGCCCAAGGGAGAGTCCATTATTATCTTCCCATTTCTCAGATAAAGAAACTGAGGCACAGAAAGCTTGACTGACTTCATCTGGGTCACAAAGCTTGTCAGTTTTGTGACCTAAATGGCCTGGCCCTGGGCCTGTGGCCTACTCAAGAGAATGGGGGGGGGGGGTTAGAACCATCAGAGGGGTGGGGTCAGGCTGGCGAGCAGTCCTCTCACCGTCCCTCATCCCTTGTACCCCCTTCAGAGTGGGCAGGCGTACTACATCAACGATGGAGAAAGTGTCAACCTCTTTGAGTGGATGGCCCCACTGGTAGGTGTCTGGACACCAACCCTCTCACAGTGAGAGTCTGGAATCCTGTCTTCTCCCCCACTCATCCTTCTCTACTTCCAAAACAATCAGAAGATGTCGCATTAGAAGGACCTGCTTCCTGATTTGTGTCAGCCTCTGCTGCCTGAGGTTTTTGCTGTTGTTTCGTTGTTTTTCTTTGCTAAGTTAGGGAGAGAACTCGAGGTCTTGCATATGCTAAATAAATGTTGCTAAGCAAGTGCTCTACCACTGAGCTACATCCATTGCTTGCTCTAGAAGGTGCCCAAAGCACAAAGGAAGGTGTTCAGCCCTGAGGCTCCTCTCTTGGTCCCCACAGACTCCTCCTGGAGGCCAGCCTACCTTGACCTGGGCTGCAGGCCTCATCCTCCAGCTCACACATTCCCTCCTCAAAGTCCCGGTCCAGAGAGAGGCCAAGCCAGCCTGATGAAGCCAGTAAAAGAGAATCTTTGGGCCAGGGATGTAGCTCAGAGGCACTGTGCCTGCAAGGCAAATGTGAAGTCATGGGTTCAATTCCCGGTACAAAAAGAGAGTCTTTGTCCTCTCAGCTCTGGTGCCCCATAGAAGTTTTGGTTTGTTTTAAATCACAGGTTTACGAAGATGTAACTCACAAACCATGCAATTCACCACTTTAAGCATACATGGCAGTGATTTTTAGTTTATTCAGCATTGTCCAACCAAAAAATAAAACACATTTGTACCTGTTGGCAGCCAGTAACCCCAACCCTAAGCTACCATAAACCTTTCTGTCTCTGTAGATTTTCTTATTCTTGACATTTCCTACAAAGGGAAACTTTACAGTGTGTGACCTTGTGTGTTTGGCTTCTTTCCCTTAGTTTTCAAGTTTGATCTATGTTGTGGCATGTATCCTGTCAGTATTTAATTCCTTTTTATTGCCAAAAATATTCCATTGTATGGCTATATCACCTACTATTTTATCTATTCATCAGATGATGGAAATTTGTGTTCTCCAGTTCTGGGTTGTTGTGAATAGCACACAGTGAACATTTGCGTGGACATGTTTTTGATTCTCTGAGATTTATACCTGAAAGGGTTGTTGGATTGCAGATACCTTTGCACTTCACCATTTTTAAAGGCATTACCAAACTCTTTCAAAGAAGCTGCAGTATTTTCATGGGCCCTGCAGTGGAAGAGGCTCTAGCTTCTCCCCATCCTTCCAACCCTTGTTATGATTTGCCTTTTATGCCACTGAGGAGCTCAGTTCACTCCATGCCGGCCTGCCTTTCATGCATCTCCTGCCACCTTCTCACACTGCTTTTTTTCCCCTTTCATAGAAAAGTCAATTCCAGAAAAATCAGATATGGCTTAAGTGCCTGAGAATGTCTTCAGATATAAATAATAATCAAATGATGTGAATGATCCTAGGTTACAATCCACCCATACACTCAATTTCTCCTCAAGTTGTCCAGAACAAAGGGTAAATTTCAAGACAGGTGCAGACTTGGGTCTGGCTTTGGGTCTGCTCCTGTGGGCTAGTGAGGAGTCCTCTTCCAGTGTGGGTTATAGAGAACAGGTGGCCTTTCCACACCAACCCCCGAACAATCCGTTCTCATCTTGGACCACATTCCTTTGCAGTTTGAGAAGCTGGGATACAGCCAGCCCTGGGTCCAGGTGCCTACTTCATGGGTTTACCTGACAGGTAAGGGAAGGCACATCTGTACCAACGCCCACCACGTACCATGTATGCACACAGACATGCTTTACCTTAGTTAAAGCCCGGGCTGGGATTAGGGTGAGGCAGATGAGGCTCTCAGTTCTCAGAACTGCCAAACCCTCCCCTGCTCTTGAAGGAGCACAAGCATCTAAACTTAGCATCATGGCTGCTCCACCCTGCTCTGTCCCTTTTTAAACCCTAATCTACTTGCAAGGGCTATATGATTGGCCCACTGTAAAGATGAGGAGGTGACGACCCTGAGACATTAGTGACCTGCCTGTGGTGCCACAGTGAGAAAGTGGGAGAGGCAGCTTGGCTTCCTGGGCACAGCAGCTCCCTGTTTCCCGTGCTGGCAGATGTCATGCCAGACAAGAAAAGAAGGGGCCCTGGGGCTGCACCATCGCCCAAGGTTGCCCTGAAGTTATGGATGCTTTGGGACATGCAAAGGCCCATTTTAACCCTTGATGGTCCTCCTCACCCTGAAAGTCAGTGTCTGCTCCCACTCCTACCACCTGGTCCTTGCTGCTGTCCTCTGTTCTCACACTCAGCACCTGGCCTCCTTCCAGCTGGAGGACAGAGTAGGCATCTGGCATGACGTAATCAGTGTAGTAAACAGGTGGCCCTCAAGTCACCAATGGCTGTGTTCCCGGCACACCTTTGACCAGATCTTCTGTATTTTAAATGTATTGGGACCTTGCCACAAAAAATAAGGGCTTTTATACTTGCTCCCTAGAGGACACATTCGGATGGCTTCTTATGCACAACACTGCCACTATGCAATGATTGACATGCTTGACTCTCAGCCACAGGGATGGCTGTCTGCAGGGGTGGTAAATACATTTCTGATTCCGGGCATGCAGCTGCAGCTCAGTGTTTCTCCACCTTGACTGCACGGTAGCCTCACCTGGAGCTTTGAAAATAGAAAAGAAAAATATAAGCCTCAGCCACACCCCAAGACCGGTGACATTAGGACCAGCAGGAGGGGGTGGGAGGGAAGCATCAGTATTTCTTAAAATGCCCAATATGCAGCCCAGGGTAAGAAGCACTGCTCCAAACTGTCCTTCCTGAGAGAGCATAGTAGAATAGGAGAAGACGGACTATAAAGATAACTTTGAATCTGCTAGATTTATTTAAGAGCCCTTTACTATTACTGTGATAACATGGTGCTTGTGGATATACTCCCCAGCTAACCAGGCGCCCCAGCATTTGCTGCTTATTTAAAGGTGTCCAATGACCTTTTCAGAGGGATAGTTAGAAAAGCAAATAACACCCCCAGTTAGCTTGTCCTTGAGGCCTCCCTGAAGTTTGCATGAAGTGAGACCCCTGGTCACTCCCCTCTCCCCACAGCCGCAGTGATGGAACACCTGCATGTGGCCCTGAGGCCTGTCGCCAGCGTTCCCCTGCTGCTCACCCGCAGTGAGGTAAGTGGGCTCCTGCACCTCTCTCTCCCCGGCTTGCCCTCCTTTAACCCCACCGCCCTCTCATCCCTGTGTCTGTGGTCTCAGGACCTTCCTGGGGGCCCCAACCCTTTAGCTCCTTTAGAATCCTCCCAACTGCTGGGCTTTGCTCAGGCTGTGTCGCCTGGGTCTGAAATGTGACAACTCCAAGCCCGTCCTTCCTCCTGGTTGTTGTCTTAGCTTAGCTTCCCAAAGGCAGGCTCCACAATCTTCACAATCAACCCTCAATACTCACACATGTGTACACACTCACAAAGCTTGGTGATTGGAGGCTCATAGTCTGTGCTTATGCAGCAGTGAGGCTGGCTGAGGATTTAGCTCAGTGGTGTAAGTGCCTGCCTGGCAAGCATGGGGTTTTGAGTTTGATTCCTTGGGTTGTAAGCACCTGCTATGTGGTATAGAGTACTAGTACTCTCAGAGTAGTGATGCTTAGCACACACAGTTTAAAAGAGACTGTTTTGATGCAGATTATAAACAGTAAAGCAATGAGTGGGGTCTAGGTTCATTTGTAAAACCTTTTCCAGTCTACCCTTTTGTTCCGATATCCTGCTAGATTAGGAAAGGCAAAAATATTATGCCCTCCACTTTATGATGAGGAACTGGACATTAGATTAGTCACTTGTCTATCTTTTAATCAATTATTTTAATTTTTCAGCATCTTAGTATAACACTAACATGCTGCTGAATTGGTCAGGCAGGGACTTGACCGTCTTGGCTGAATTGTGGATTTCCTTGTTCAGCTCAGTGGCAAAAGGATCCTTAGTTTGCTAGGCAAGTTTTCTTGAACTGTGGCTGAGGCGTCCCCTGCTGGTCAGTCTGTGCACAACAATCAGCTTTCAGTTGATTTTATAGCCATTCATTCATTTATTGAGCATCTACATAAGCCAAATAATAGGTGAATATATATATTACCTCAGCTAGAACAAGCTACTTTTGCATTCCTAAAATCCCTACATTGAGTATCTAGGTCAAAATGGACAAGGACTGGCCTCTCACCGTTTCCCACTAAATTATCCAAGACCAGGGACCTGAAGGCTTGATCCTAGGGGCTATTTCAGTGCTATGGGAGAATCAAGAAGCCAGCAGATTTTCCCCTAGTGTTCATCTGAGGAACAAGAGGGTAAGAAATGAGTAGATTCCTTCAGGCCTCAGCATGGGATGAAGAACACAGGCTAGCATGTGACCCTCCTGTGTGACCTTGGGCAAGTCACTAACACTTCTGATCTTCAATTTCCAAATATGCAAAGAGGAAATGGTGCTGTCAGGGGAAAATAATGTAATAAATATGAAGGACTTAACAGGGTCAAGCAGAGTATGTGCTCCGTAACTGATAGCTATCATTACTCTTGAACACAGTAGGCCGCAGGTTAGCTGGTAGCAGAGAAATCCAACTCAGACGCTGGAGCAAATCTCTCTTCTGGACACTTAAACAGCCAGGAAGCTTGAAAGCTGTGCCTGAGGCCCATCCCACTGCAGTTTGTCTAGCGCTAAGGGGAGGAAACCAAAACCAATTCTTAGAGATAATTTGCCAGGGAGCCATACCCAGACCATAGGCAGGGCATTCAGCTTCTCCTAACGAATATCCAAGAATGTACCGTGCCCAGGGCTGCCACCCCACCTCGCCGAGGTTCACACCCTTTAAACCCGTGCAGTGGTAGGACCTTTGCGTCTCAGGGAAAAGGAGGTATATACATGCGGTGTCAATTCAGCGGCCCTGGAGAGATACAGAAAAGTCATCCCGAGGCATCGCCCTCCACAGAAATGGAGATGTGTGAGCGAAGGGAAGCAGGAAATGCCCCCTGATGAGGGCATCGCACAAACAAGACTGAGCGGCCGAGTTCTTTTAAATCTCTGTGAGATGGAGCAGCGAGCTCTGTCCTCTCCTTTCCCTAAATAACGAGGCAGAAGATGCTCACCCCTCCCGCTAGCCCGGCCCCCGGCTGCCCCCCCCCCTCTCCCGCAGGTGCAGTCAGTGGCCGTGACGCACACCTTCCAGATCGCCAAGGCCAGAGCTCAGCTTGGCTATGCGCCGGACAAGTTCAGCTTCGCCGACTCCGTGGAGCGATATCTGCAGTCCACGAGCCGACAGCCGCGAGGCTCCGAGGCGGGGACACTTCTGCGGATGCTGCTCGGGCTACTGCTGCTTCTCGGCCTGCTCGGCCTGGCCCTGCACTTTCTAGTCCTACAGCCTCTGCAGGAGGCCGTGCAGAGCCTCTGATCTGCCCTGCCAAGCCCGGGGCCCCGCCCCGCCTTCACAATTTGGCTGCGCCTCGGAGCCCTGGCTCCGCCCCTAAATTCTAGTCACGCCCCCGCCCCGCCCCGCCTTTGGGTTTTGAGTTTGGCTCGGCGTCTCCTGCTACGCCCTCTGTCTGGCCTGCTTACTAACCAGGTCGCAGCCCCAAACCACGCTCCGCCTTGCAGGCCTTCTCCCGCCTCTGCTTAGTCCTACCCCCCCACCCCCCGATTCTCCGATGGTATGGTTACTCCCGTCTTCCTGCCCCCCACTCCTGCTCTTGAGCTCACCCTTAGTTCCTCTTTCCTACTGGCCTTGCAACTCCCTTCAGGTCCAATCCCGCCCCTGTTGCTGCCTTTTATTCGGCCCTGGCCACGCCCCCTCTGAGGCCTTCCCCCCCCCCAGCTCCGCCTCTTGGGGCGCTAGGCCCCTGTAGCCTCTCGGAGCTGGTACACGCAAGCTGGTAAGGTTTTTTTGAATTTACACCGTCTGCTCCTTCTCCTGCTTCTTGCACCGGTGCATTCTTCTCGCTGCTGCCCTGGCTTCTCTGGGCATGTCCTGAGATCCTACTGGAATCTCGAGTTAGACTCACTTCAGTAACTTTGCTTTTGATCCGTCCACATCCCAGTATTGTGTATTTGTGCCTTCAGACACATCTCTGTTGATAGCTGGAGCTTGAAGAAACGTCAGAGACTCAGGCTTTTGCCCGGCCCAGTTTGGCCTTTGTGGGTCCCTGGTTTATGATTTTGGAGATTACTCAGCCTAGCAAACACTGGCTTTTGTACTAGAAAAGAATGAAAACAGAAACTGTAAAAAAGTAAATGTCTCCAAAGAGTACCCACACAATTATAATGAGAAAAAAGGAGTCTAGTTGGTCATATTTTATGACTTAGTATTGTTTCTGTTTGTTAATGTGGGATAGTGCTGATCATTGTTATCTTTAAGGGGGAACACCACAGAATTTCTTAACCCAGTCCTGCCCACCGCAGACATAGCACCTCCTTATATCTTGGTATGCACTGTGGGTACCAAGGCAGTATAATAAGCTCACGTATATGTATCAAACGATGCATACAGGTAATGGCTGAGGAGAAACCACAGGGCTGGCTAATCAACTTTGGTAACCATCACAGAATATGTTCCTGTCTAGTGAGCAGGAGTGGGGGGAAAAAGTGTGCTTCTTTGTGCTAGATATATTTGTTGTTTGTATATATATTTTTTAAAAGATCAGTAATAATCTTTTATGTATTTAATGCTTGATGCCTTGCAAGGATTTCATCTATATGATCTTTTTTGAGTCTTGGGGTAACCCTTACAATAGAATTTATTATTGTCATTTTATTGACAAGGAAACGGCTTGTGTCTAACTTCAAAGAGTAGATGAGGTGGGGTTACTGCTCTGTAGCAGGGATAATTTGGAGAAGCTGCCCCAGGCCCACTGGGACCCCCACACTCTACCTCTAATTTTTGTCTTCCACAGATAAAGAGATCCATTCTCTATGACTGTGTTATGGTTTATGTCTGGGTGTCCCCCCAAAGCCTCATGAGGTCCTGGGAGGGCAAACCTTTCAAAAGTGGGTTCCTAGAATTCAAGATTGATTCATAGTCCAGCGCTGGGATTACAGGTGTGAGTGCTACACCCTCCCTAGAGCAGTTAGCCTGCATACAATATAAAGGAAGGAAAGAGGCTGCTCCTCCCTTTTGCCCCTTTCGTTTTCCAGCTCTTGCTGTCTTCACTTGCCATGAACTGTTGCCTTCTAGCATGTGCCACTCTGCCTTGGAGCCAGCTGCTTACAGACTGAAACCTCCACAGACCATGAGCTAAATAAACTTTTCCTCCTTTAACTTTGGGTGTTCGGTATTTTGTCTCAGCAATCAGAGAAAAGTAACCAAGACAGGCCCTTAAAGAAGCAGCAAATTAAAGGCTCAAGCAGCCTGTTGGGAAATTTTCAGCAGTATCTTAGCTGCATTCCCCTGGAAAAAGGGTGCAATGTTAGTTTTTGTTGTTGTTTTGTTTTAAAGGAATGAAATTGGTGCGTGAGAGGTTTGTGTAATGGGTTGAGTGGGTGAATTGCCCTGTAGTTTCTTCCTTTTTCCTTTTTTTTTTTTTTTTTTTTTACATTCCGTGTAAAAAAACGAGACAAAACAAAAGCTTCAAAGCAAAGGAGATTGAAAGAAGTTAGAAAAGTGAAACCATCCAGGTGTGGCAGCGGTGGGATTCGAACCCACGCCATCGAAATGACTGGAGCCTAAATCCAGCGCCTTAGACCACTCGGCCACGCTACCGCCCGTCTCTAAAGTGCTCTACTCAGAGGCTGTTAGGAGGCTGTTAGTGCGATAATGGCGGCATTTGCTCGCCGGGAGCCCTGCCTGAAGCTATTTATGCAAGCCATGCCTCTCTGCCTAGCGGTGCGAGATCCTGCGTCTCGGCTTTCTCTGTGGCTTTTGTAGTCACAATCCTGTCGTGACTGACTTCAAAAACTACAGCATTGATTTTAAGACATTTAAAAGATAGAAATAGTCTCTAAATGTTAAGCTTTAGTGCTCGCTTCGGCAGCACACAGACTAAATATTAAAGCATTAACAACCGGCTCGCGTGTGTGTTCAGGTTCGATTTTCGCACTTTCTTTTTGCTTGAGGCTACCTACAGCCACCTGGGGGCGGTGTCGCGCTGTGACTTCCTCTCAGCCTGGCTGGGAGTTCCCCGGCAACCCGTTTGCTCTCGACTGGTCCTGCAGACTCTGTTTTCACTTCAGTTTACCTCTGCAGCCTTGTGTCGCCTCGTAACCTGGCCCCAGAGAATCATAGGTCCAGAGAGGATATCAATGAACGTGTTCGGAGCCTTTGCAATGTGGTCTGCCTCAGACATAACTATGATCCTGTTTTACAGACAGCACCTAAGTTCCTTGCACCAGTGTCCCAGCCAGACTAGCATTCTCCAGCCTCCCAAAACTCAAGTTTTTCTATGCAGACTAAATGTTTTTTAGAAAAAAATAGAGCACAAGAGAGGAAAAGAAAGTACTCTAAAAGATGTAATTGCATGTATGCGTAAGTGTGTAAGATAGATAATCATATTATTAATTTTTTTGGATCGTTGTTTGCAGTTTCACTGTTTGAATGTCCACTTTGTATGCTTTAATTTTGTAAAAATTAAATGTCCACTTTGTATGCTTTAATTTTGAACAACTATGTCTAAGATGACATTATGTAATCTATGAATTAGTGATTTCTTAATGTTTATTTTTTTGAAATTCTGTATTATTTCTACTCTTTTTTCTCTTTAAATAAAATTTTTTAAAAAGAAAAAATAGAGCACAACACAACAAACCATTTCCCGTCATTCATAATTGTTGATATTTTGTAGGTTGGTCTTAAATCTTTATAAATTAAAAAAAGAACACTATAGATAAAATTCAAGTCTCTTGATACTCTCAATTTCTGTTCCCTTCCTCTTGCCTCAGGAGTTTCAAATCCTTTCAGTTTACTTTTTCATGATTTTACCATTAGATAGGACTATCCATTTCTTTGCATATTTAAGGAAATGGGCAAACATAACCCAGGGTTCTAAAGATAGTTGGGTAAGTGGATATAGTGACTGAATAATGGCCTCCTAAAGACACCCACATCCAAATCCACAGAACTTGTATGTAGCCTTATGTGGCAGTGTGAACTTTGCATTTATGATTGAGTTAAGGATCTTCAGATGGGAAGAGTAGTGTGTATTTCCAGATGGTCTCAATGTAGCCCAAGGGTCCTTCCTCGTTAGAGAAAGGCAGGAATTAGAAGAAATATTTGAGGGTGGAAGATGAGAAGTCTGCGTGATACAGCCACAAACCAGTTAGCCCTTCTGTAAGCTGAAAATCAGTTCTCCCCTAAAAGCTCCAAGAAGAAACACAAGGTGTCCAACACCTTGATTTGAGGCCTTCTGACTTCCAGAATGGTAAGACAATCAGTTTGTGTTTTTCTAAGTCACTAAATTTATGACAGTTTGTTTCGGGAGCAGTAAGAAATCGATACAGAAACCAGGCACTGTCCCACATGCCTGAAATCCCAGCAGTGGGAGACTGGCGCAGGAGAATTGTCACAAGTTCAAGGCCAGCCTGGACTCTACAGTGACTTCAAGGCCAGCCTGAACTACATAGGGACACCTTGTTTCAAAAAACCCAAATAAGGAAGTAAAGAAAGTGATACAGTCAGTGAATCCATGAACTTGGATGTGAGCTTGGAGAACCAACGTTCTCCGTAGGACCTGTGATGTGGAAAAGTCACCTCCCTCCCTCCAGGCTTTGGTTGCTCATCCTTTTAATGAAAGGATAATTGTACTGCTTTACAGATTCACTATGAGGATTAAATTAATTCATTCTACAATTATTTCTTGAACACTTACAATTATGCCAGGTATTGTTCTGGTCATATCAGGAAATAAAGTATTGAAAATCAAATGTGTTATATGGCAAGAATATAATGAAGGAGATGATGTGATTCTCCAAGAGGATGAGTAACCCACCACCTTGCCACATCTCAAAGCTCTCACCACAGGAGTTTTCCTATGGGCACTGATCCCTTGATGGCTCTCACATTCATGTCCCCAACTCACTGCGGCCAGTAGATTTATGACTCTCCCAGGAGCATAGAGGGCGCTGCTTAGTATATCAGTTCCTGCCTAGTGTATCAGAAGCACAGGTGATTATGTCTTGTTTACCCATGTTATAACCTCAAGACCAAATCAAGTACGAAGCTAGAATATTCCTTGAATTTTTCTTTTCTTTTTTCTTCTTTCTTTCTTTTTTTTTTTTTTTTTTTCCTGATTCAGTGCCAAAGATCCAACCAGGTCCTCAAACATGCTAAGTCTTCTCATGTCCTCTACCTAGCCCTCAGGGCATGAGCCTATGTCCAGTGGACCCATTGTTTTTCTACTGTAAAATTATACTTTAGTGATCTAGTAGCCAGCTGTGTTTCTCAGTACCTTTCCCTGAGGTATGAATGAAGCAATCTGTGTGTTTACCCATTTGGTATGATGAATGGCAAGGAGTGTGCACATGTGCAAAATTGGCAAAACAGGATTTGGACCCACCTTTATGCAACACGTAACTGGATTTGTGTATGTTTACCCAAGCATCACAGAGGGTCTGAAAGATCCACATCGCTCCAGGATTTGTTTTTCTTTAAAAAGTTTTCTTTCACTTTTGCTGGGAGAAGTAGCCAGATTCAGTACAGTGGCACATAAACAACCAAATTTGTAAGTTTTGGTCAAAGAGGTCAAAAGTGAACTATCAGATTACTTATGCATGGATGATGAAGATGATCCATTATGGTAAAATACATGTTTGCATAACAGAAGAGTAGTGTATGTGATGATGATGGTGATGGTGGTGGTGGTGGTGATGACTATGATGACTATGATTTTGATGTCGACCGTATGAGCCAAAGTTCCTGTGATAGTGAAATGGAGCAAGAATAGCCTGATACAGGCAGAGAGAATGCAGACCTGCTTGATTCAGATGACCAAGAAAACAGCAATGTGAGTACATATTTGACTACGAGGTGAAAATGTTGTGAAATGGTCACACAACCAAATGGAACCATTCAATGTTAGAACGAGGCTCAAAAATATAGTGAGGGCCTTGGCACGGATGAAACATACTGGGTGGAAGGCCAGCACTGCCATTAGTGTTGGAAATTGTATCAGATGAAATACTACAAGATGCTGTGAAACACACAAAGGCTGAAATGCAGATAAAACATTCTACATGACCAATAGCCTACTCAAGCATGTATTTGTTATGACAACTCACTAGCTGAACTGAGAGCCTTCATAGATCAGCTGCCCTTGGGTGGATTTCTCACAGTGATCAGGGGAATGTAAAAGATTTATGGAAAACAATGGTCAAAATGCAACATAAAAATTTATGCCCTTATAGATGAAAAGGCTTATTATCTTTCAGTTTAGGCATTTATCCTCAAACTCAGCCATCAGGTCCTTATTCGTATAACGATAAACCAAATGATGTTAGGAACAGACTCGTTGCTCCCATCCCCCAAGCTAATTGGAATGTGACACTGGCCAGTTGGCTGACCGGTTTCCAGTTGATGTTACACTTGCTCACAGAGCACACGTTGACCAGCACAGGGACTGCACACGGGAACAAAGCAGACATTACAAATGAAATGTTGTGATCTCAAAACAGAGAATTGCATATACAATCTTTGGATTTCAGTTTACATTGACCTCCTGTATGACAAAGGAAATTGTACTGCTGATGTCAACAGTGCATCACAATGGAATTTTTGACTGGGCAACCTCCACAAAATGGAAGCCTCAGATGGAGACTTTAACAACAAAACCAAAGGCAGAGTAGATGTTGTTGATGCAGCTACCATCATGTCACTTGAAATACAAAGCACTGGTCAATGGTTGATCTTAAACTTGTGTGTATAAATAGTTTCATAGTTTACTAAGAAAATAACAAGTACAAAATACCACAGAGAAATTTTCTGAGAGGATTGGGACTGGAACTCATAAAAGAGCATTTGCAGTAGATGGAAATCAAAATGTTTCTGTCCAGGATACTACACACACACACACACACACACACACACACACACACGCACACAAAGTGCTGGAGCACCCTGGTGAGCTGACAGGTGGACAGGCAGGAGCAGCGTCCCAAAGGCCTACTACAGCAACAGGAAAACAAAAACAATGTCAATTGTGTCCTATAAGAGAGGACAGGGAAACAAAACATAGGTGCTATCAGTGTAAGTGGTACTTGCATAAGGAGCATGCATTTGTCATGTGTGAAGACGGCTTTGGGTGTGATAGCAAAGCCTATTTCTGTGGTAGACTTCTATTTGTGTTTACATTATAGTTTATGTGGTGCTCATTTCGGCAGCACCTATACATAATACTTCGCATAGCTTTTTGAAGAGAAAAGTCATTGCTTCCTGGGAATCGGCCATGCTGGGACAGGGAGGATCCAACAAGAAGCCAACCAGCCAGCCTTTCTGGTGAGCTGTGCAAGCTGCACAGCTACCAGGAAGAGAAAAGTCAGTGGCTTTCATGTACCTACCAGCGCACAGGCTGAGAATCAGTCCCCACCCACACATACACCCCCCCACACCCGGTAAGCAACCTGCTGGTTCAGAGGACAGGCTGAGTTGATAGCAACTAAGACACATAAGGCAACTAAATGCTTGTTTAGTCTGGTTGATCTTGCAGGCCTGGGGTCAGCAGTCTGAGCATCTCTTGGGAGCATGACAGTATGCAATATAGCAAATATGGGGGATTTCCTTCCATCTTGTCTTTGAAGGCCAATATTGTTCTCACTGTTTTGCTTTGTTCTGATTAATTGTTTTGCTTTATTCAATATTCTGTTTTGAATGGTTTTACTGTGTTTTCTTTTTGGTTTGATTTTGCTGTACCTGATGGAATAGATAATTATTGTGAAGATAAGATATACTATGGTAGCTGTTGTTTTCCTAGTGTCCTGCTTTGAAGTTTTGTACGAATTTTGCTGCTTTGTTTTGATTTGTTTGATTTGCTTTGTTCTGTTTTGTTTTGTTGGATTTTACTGTCTTTAAAATTTTAAAAATGTAAGAAACTTCACATAGCTTTTTATTTTTATATTATCTTTTAGGTTTTGTAAACAAGGCCACAGCTGATGAGAAAATGTCTGAGTACTCATTACATATTTGATATTTGATTAACATCTTATTTTCCTGCTAAGTGCATGTTGTATAATACAGTAGGAAGCTCCTGACAAAACAGAAAGAGAAGCGAGGTGACAAGAATGGCCTGCCACATGGGAAAGTAAAGCTGATCACACGTGCTGTGTGTAAGATGTATGCACAGAACATGTAGTTATCATGTGTGAAAGCTGCCTTGGGCGTGACAGTTGAAGCAAAGATGATGATGATTATTGCAGGCAAGGTCTTGCTATGTAGTTCAAGCTGGCCTTGAACTCACTGCATAGCCCAGCCTAACCTCAAACATGTTGATTCTCTTGCCCAGCTTCCCAAGTGCTGGGACTACAGGCACATGCCACTGTGCCCAAAAATAAAGAACAAACAATTTGTTTGTGTTTACATTGTACTTCACAGAAGTTTTTTTCTGATGTTATCTTTTAGGTTTTGTAAGCAAGTACACAGCTGATGTGAAAATGATGATGTTTATTCTAAATGTGTGATACATATTAAAAATTTAATACTTTATTCTATTGATATTTTATGTTCCCGCTAATTTTATATTGCATAATATAATAAAGTCTTGAACAAATAGCACAACCACTGAGATGTCAAGTATGTCCTACGAAAAGGACAGGAAAGCAAAACACATGTGCTGTTAGTGTAAGTCATGTGTATGTGTGAAACATGCTGTTGTCATGTGTGCACACTCCCCTAGGCGTGATAATT